ACAGAGGTAAAGAAATTCAGAGAAAGATTTTATATTTAGACAGAAAGTTATTCAGTCACCACACAATCTGTAGAGACACATCAGCTTATAATTACATGGAAATGTTGTACTCTCAATATTTCTGAGAATATAAAACATTCGAGGCCTAAAAGCACAGTCAAAGAGAGAGAGATCTTTAGATAGGTTTTGAAAGCAAAGAAGGGTGGCGTGATGAGAGGATCTCAAATCTAGCCCACTGGTGATGGGGCGGAGTGGATGTTGGGCATGAAGCAGACCTGAGTTAGTGGAGGCAGGACCTGGGGATGTGGAGAAAGGCTTAAAATGTACAGATGGAGGGATTCCAGAGAGAATGAACAAAGTGGCTGAAAGCTCACCACTGATGGTGGGTGGAGCAAGCAGGAGAAATGAAGCAGCACAGACGAAAGGAGGTCGGTGGGTGGGTGGGTGGGTGTTGGTGGTGGGGGGATTTGGATCATAGGAGAGCACAAAAATAGATTGGAGCAGGGTCATTTGAAGGTAAGGACAATGATTGTGAATTTGATCCATTGGAGACAGGGGGCCAGTGGAGTTGGGTGATGATGGGGTTGATGGGAGTTCTGGATGAAACTAGCATCCAGAGGTGAAAAGACAGTGTACTAACTTTCTGCACTAACTAGTTAAACGTGGAGTCCTGTAGCTTAGTGGTTAGAGTACTCACTTTGCAAGTGAGAGACCTGGATTTGATTCCCGGTAGGGTGAAACGCTGGGCAAGTTTCCTTACTCCACACGCCTCTGTTTACCTAGCAGTAAGTAGGAACCTGGTGTTTAGTAGATTGGTGGATCGCTTTTCCGCGAGTAATAATTTCTTCTTCAAAAAAATTGGTCACTTAATCCACAACTATTTGTGGGACAATGCTGTGCACAAATGGCTGCCGCGTTTCACTCACAAAATATAGTCAATTCACTTTACAGTATATTCTGCGAAGTGCTTTGAGATGTCTCAAAGACATGATAAGGCGTTATATCAAATGCAAGGATTATTATTTAAAGTGCACAATATCTCATCCGAGTGCATCTCCCTTTCACATAGTTGTGGATATGACAGTGAATGTGCAGCGGTGTAATACATCAGTTCAATGATGACATTTCCCACACAAAGATAGAACAGATATGTGTGTTTCCAGCGAGCGCTTTTGCCTGGGTGAGGAACGGTGGGAAGAAGCTGGCTGTAAATCACCAATGATCTGTTCACACACACCTCCTTGAAACCAGTTCAACGAAAAACATAAGGAGATTTGTCTCCACCCCCGCCCTGCCAGTCACAAAGTACTTCATAAATCAAAGGTGACACAGAGGAAAACTTACACTTTTAAGAGGGTTGTTTTGTTTTAAAAATGATTCAGCTTGTTTAAGGATTGCATTCTAGATAATGCATGGAACATTTTTTATCCAAGTGAAAGATGAGAATTTCCATTGCCTTATTCAATTGTGAATCATGTACCAAACTTCCCATAGCACCAGACTGATGGGAACACTGAGAGTGCTCATGACTAAAATGTTTACACCAAGCAATTATTCATCTTGGGTACACTCACTAAATGACATACATAAAGGCCCCAACCCTTGTGTTCCACCATCTCTGCAAAGGTTTGCTGTCTGGAAGGAGTCTGATGATACCAATGCATCGGTAGTTGGGTATTCCATCATCCATGCGTTCATTCACTGGAGCCGAAGGATGTCCTCAGGCTTGTATCTCATGACTAGTCAGAACAATCCCCTCACTGATATACAATGCTTAGTACAATATGAGTCCATATATACAAAACACATTTGGGTAGAAATTCCATCGGAGTCTAGTTGTGCTCTATTAACATAACATTTTGAGCTTCCAGAATGAGTCAGCTTCTTCAATACAGTCTTTAATTTTGAAGCTGGTTTTCTGTAAGTTTATTTTAAGAACTACAGAAAAGCGGATTCAAACTTTAATTTTTTGTCAAAATGCAGTCGTTTAGTAACCTTGTCCAGTAGATGGCAATGAATTGCTAAACATTGAAAATACATTGTTTTTATCCATCAGTCTATGAATACACTAATTTGCATCTGTTGTATATGTATGTTATAGTTTGTATAAGATTCAACTAATCTGTAGTGTTATGCTAATCTTTTTTTCTTATTTTTCTCTAATTTTTCTGTTCGTCTCCTCCTCTCCTGAAGCCATTTTATTCTTTTTTCCTTCCATTGCTGATAGAGGGCAGAGAAGTTGATGGGGGCAGGGAGTCCTCTCACACTCCTCTTGTAAATCCTGCAAGCCTAATGTGTAGCTGGACAAGCAGTGGGGAAGCTTGCCAGACAGTATTCTCAATTGCAGGCTATGTGGTTTCAGCTGGTTAGACTCCAGCAGTTACCCCAAAGCACACTCTGGGTTCCCCAAGCCTTGGCTCTTGCCAACCTTTGTCTAATTCTCTCCGGAATTAGGTAAGAAGGATGTTTCCCTCCAGGGAGAGAGTGCACATTCCTTTCCAACAATCTATCTCAGAAATTTCCGTGTGTAGGTGCGATGCATGGAATTCTCAGTTTGATTTGGATACTCTTAAGCCTGGTGACGGGTTTCCACATGTGTCAGATCTCACAGTCTGTGTGGTGAAGAGGTTGGAGGCCACCATCTTTGATGCTGGCACGGCCTATCTTAATGGGGACTGACCACTCTGACCCCGCCCCCTCCACCCCCAATACATTTTCACCCATCCACTCTTGGTTAAAGAGTGTTTCAGATATGATGTGAGTGTTGCGACTGAGAATTTGCACCCAGGGCCTTCTGACCCAGAGGCAGGAGTGTGACCCACTAAGCCAATATCACACCACATCTGTTCACCACACATTGGAGGCAATTTCACATTACTTCTTAAACAGATTTCTTATTTTATTTACACCTATAATGGGGATGTAAGTGGTGAACACCAACCCTCAGACAAAATTTTAAAAACTTGAACAATGTTTTGCAAAATATCACAAAATCTATCCCAATGTTGGTAATAATAATCCTCCCATTTGATACAAAGTCTGTAACGGGAAGTGTAATTACTGTGTATTTTGTAGGCAAAAGTAGTAGTCAATTTGGACACAGCAACGTCTCACAAACAGCCACAAAGCAAGCGGTCAATTTTATCTGGGGTATTGGGTTCTGTGGTAAGATAACAAAGAATAAAAAACAGAATGCTAGGCTATATTGCTAAATGAGTTGAGTTTAGATCCCCAGACTCTTTCTCTCTCTCTCTGTTTGAGACTCCCTCTCTGTTAGTGTGTGTATACGTATTAGCTATACAGCTAAATCAGTTGAGTTTAGATGCCCAGACATCATTCTCAGACTGTACAGTGCTCTGGTCAAGCCACACCTTGAATACTGCACACAGTTCTGGTCACTGTGACATAATAATAATAATAATAATAATCTTTGCATTTTATATAGGGCTTTTCACGTCTTCTAGGTGTCTCAAAGCGCTTCACAGAATATGCTGTAAAGTGAATTGACTGTATATTTGTGAGCAAACCGCAGCAGCCAATTGCGCACAGCATTTTCCCACAAACAGTCGTGGATTGAAAATGACCAATTTATTATTGTCTTGTTTTGGAGGGATTATTATCAGGTGTGTGGAGTAAGGAAACTTGCCCAAGGTTTCGCCCTGCCTGGAATTGAACCCAGGTGTCTCGCTTGTAAGGCGAGTGCTCTAACCACTGAACTACAGGACTCCTCAAAGGCGGCTGCCTAAGCCCTAGAAAGAAACAGTGCAGAGGAGAGCAACAAGGCTGATCCCCAGTGTTAGAGGAACGAGTGCTGAGCAACGATTAGACAAGTTAAGAGTCCTTCAGCCTTGAGAGAATGCAACTCAAAGGAGGGCAGGGAAGAGACAGATCAGAGGGTGAGGTTGACAATGCTCCAGATAAACTGGACATTTGCAACACCAACAATAAGAATTTGAGTTTATTTAATGTCCGTTGTGCAGCAGAATGTCTCAGAATGCTCAGTCTTTGCTTTGTGTCCTTCTGTAGGATGACAATTATTTAGAATCCTTGCATTTGATATAACGCCTATTACATAAAAACATTAAAACTCCATCCCACACCGCTCCTTCTCCTCGCCCCCTCCCTTGCCTCCTTCCAGGCACATCTCAAGATCTTCCTCTTCAACCGAGCCTTTGGTCCCCTCCTACCCCCATCCTCCCTGCCCTCCACCCCTCCTAATCCCAACCCCCAGCTCGGGTGCAAACCCTTGACTGTCCAGCACCTTTGGATATCGTCCCAGCAGGAAAGGCACTGTGTAAATGCAATTTGTTGTTGTTGGTGGTGTCGTTATTGCAAAGCTCATTCCAGTATAATATACTGTAAAGTGTAATAACTGTGTATTTCGTGGACGAAACGCAGCAGCCAATTTGGGCACAGTGACGTCTCACAGATGCCTATGGAGTGAGTGACCAATTTTATTTGGGGGATTGTCGGCCAGGACACCAGGAGAGACAAGAGAACTCCCTTCTCTTTTTGAGAGACTCTGGAACTCCATCCCCCAGTGCCTTCGCCTTGCTTCCACCCTTTCCTCCTTCAAGGCCGGTCTCAAGACCTTTCTCTTTGACCGTACCTTCACCTTCCCTCTCGACTCTCTACCCCCTCCTCGCTCCCTCCCTTCCCTCCCCTCACCCTGACCATTTCCCCCCGCTCGGGTCCTGACCCAACTGTCCAGCGCCTTGGGACGTCCTCCCGACGTGAAAGGCGCTCTGCAAATGGAATCTTGTTCTTGTTGTTGTTGAATAGCACCGCGGGATCTTTAACGTCCACCTGGACAAGCAGAAGAAAAGGGACCTCGGTTTAACATCTCATCCGAAGAACGGCACCTCCAACACTGTGGCGCTCACCCCACCCCCCCAGTACTGCACTGGAGCAGCATCCTAGACTGTGAGCTGAAAGTCCCCGACGTGACGAGCACACAAACACACACACACACACACACACAGAGTTTTAGCACTCAGGAAGTAGGAAGTGAGTGTGAGTGAGAGGCAGACTGTGGTCAGATCACATATTACTTTAGACGTGGAAGACCTTAGCTCTGGAGGTTGCAAGAACAGGGAAAACGAAGAGAAAGGTGAGCAATGTGTTCTTGAGCAGCGCCTTTCACTTTCCCACAGCAAAGCTGCTGAAGCTGTGAGCAGGTGAGAGCAGGTGGATCGAGGAAGCAGCAGGTGAGAGTGTCTGTAAACCAGTGACAGGCAGACAGACACCCACACACAGAGCAATCCACTGCCCTTTGCATTGCTGCCACGTTTACCTGTTAACGTGGAGTTTCTCCCAAACAACCTTAACCCATCGCCTTTGTCCACACACACACACATACACACATACACACACTGTGCACAGTGAGTGAGTTGAAACTGAGCAAATTCATTCCTGACCTTTGAATGTTTGCAAAGTGCAAATAAAGGCGATGTGTTATTTCTTTCTCTCTCTTTCTCTCTTTCCATAATCTTGGAGAAGGTTTTTTTTTTGCAGATGTGTTTGTTTGTATCTCAGGTAGATTGTGTGTGTGTGTGTGTGTGAGAGAGAGAGAGAGAGAGAGTGTAAGAGTGTCTGTGTAAGAAAGTGTGTTGTGTGTGTGTGGTGTGTAAGAGAATGCAAGTGCGTATGTTGTGAGTTTTGAGTGCATAAAACTGTGTGAGAGAGGGAGAGAGAGAACCTGTAAGAGTGTGTGTCTGTGAGATAGTTGTGAGCGTGTGTTAGAGAGAGATTGTGTGTGTGTGTGTGTGTGTGATAGTGTGAGAGTGGAAGAGAAGTGAGAAAGGAGGAGGCAGGTTTATTGAGTTTAAAAAATGAAAACAGGAGAGAGCAGTCTGTGAGTGCAATAACTTTCGATTTCATTGCAACTCTCTCCTCTTGACTTTTAATGCCTCACTCACCCCCCACTCCTCCCCTTTCCTTTCCTCAGGTTATTGATAATTTCCTGATTTTTTTTTTGGTGGTGGGGGGCCCTTTATTACTTTTAAAATAGTTTCTCCAACTTCTGCCAAACTTTTTCCAAAGCAATCCCCTGTCGGGAAATGGCTGCTCATTAAAGGCACGACCATTTCCTTTTTGAAACTTTGAAAATCATGAAAATTGGCTTTTTTTTTTTGCTTCTGTTGTTATTTCCAACAGAAGACACCGAGCTCGCACATCAATACTACAGAAACTTGCTCCTCTCTCCCTCTCTCGCTCTCTCTCCCCCTTTGAGATAGAAAAAATACAGGCAAACAACTGTTTACAATTGTACACCAAGATATCGACTGGATTCAGTGAGTTTTTATAAATACGAGTTTGGCTTACAAATTCTTGCAATTGCTACAGCCCTTATCACTTGGGAGTACGGCACAAAGCGCTTCACAATGTTTTATTGTAAAGTGTAGTGACTGTGTAATTTGTAGGTGCACACACTGCAATGTCCCACAAGCAGCCATGGAGTGAGCGAGCGGTTTTATCTGAGGGCTTGTTAGCCAGGACACCAGGAGAGAGAAATTCTCTTCTCTTTTCCAATCACGTTGCGGGATCTTTAGCGTCGTCCTGAACAGGTACAGACGGGACCTCGGTTTAATGTCCCGCCTGAAGGACGGCAGCTCTGACAACGCAGTGTTCTCCCCCAGAACTGCACTGAAGCATCAGCCTAGACTGTGAGCTCAAAGTCCCCGATGTGGGGCTTGAACCCACAACCTTTCGAGGTGAGAGTACTGAGTCAGCCTGACACCAGGGAAGCAGGAATGGCTGTCTGATATTTATCCGCAGCGCAGACCAGACATGTTGAGGAGAGAGCAGGGAATCGGATTAGAGGAGAGAGCGCCAGTGGGGGAGCGAGCACCAGCACAGATACGATGGTGGAGGGAAGAAATGTGGCCCCTACGTGTGTGTACACAGGAGACTTTCCTCTTTGCCTGTGCCTATAGTTACCTCCCCTATCTCCCGGCCCGGCATTGAACCACACCATTGTTAAGCATTCTGAGACTCTAGCCCATGTGAAGGGTGCTGTGTAAATGGAAGTCTATTTACATCCTTCCGAGGTGAAAGGTGCAATATAAAAGTAATTTGTTGTTGTTGTAAATGTAAGTTGTTGATTCAGAACTCTGCCGCTGGTATTCTCACTCAGACTAAACTCTGCACCTCCATCATACCAGTCCTCACCAGGCTCCACTGGCTCTCTATCACAGAACGGATTCATTTCAAGATTCTCACACTTGTTTTCAAATGCCTTCATGCCCTGCCACCTCCCTACTTTTCCGACTTGCGCACTCTCCAACACACTACCCGCTGCCTCCGCTCGGCTGGCTCCAGCCCCCTGCTTGTCTCTGTCCCCCGGCTGCACCATCGGTGGGCACACTTTCAGCAACTACGCCCCAAAGCTTTGGAGCTACTCCTCCAATACTTCCGCCTTGCCCTCTCCCTGCCATCTTTTAGATCATAACTGAAGACCTTCCTATTCGACTGTGCTTACGATCACCTCCTCCCTCTCACCCATTCGGCATTAGGCTCCGCCTCTGTTAAGAGCTCCGAGATGCTGCCCCACGTAATGGGCGCTGTGTAAATGCAAGTTGTTGACGTGTGCTGATGGTGCTGTAATCTCTGTGGTTACTGTAGATGACCGTGTGCATATCGGATCGGTGACGGGGTTGGAGCCGATGTTGGGGAGGTCTCACCAAGCCCACCAATGAACGCCTCCGGCTGCTATAACCCGTCCACGGGCCCCACAGTGCTCCAGGGCAACCGCTTTGGGGGCATCCCCACAGTGCTTCTCATCTCCTTCCTCATCTTCCTGGTGAGAGACAATACCTCCCCCCTGCCCGAGCTCCCCCAGCCCTGAACTCTCCCGTCTACCTCGAGCGCCCTGCCCTACTCGCCCGAATGCCCGCCGCAGGTTCCCCACGCCACCCATCCTGCACCCCTACGTGAACTCACTAGCTGCCTAAATCGACAGTAGATAATAATAATAATCATCCTTGTATTTGATATATCGCCTTTCGTGTCAGGGGTTTCCCAAAGCACTTCATAGGATATTACTGGAGTAGAGTAACTGTGCATTTTGTGGGTGAACGCGACAGCCCAATTTGTGCACCAATGCCCCATAAACAGCCATGGAGTGAGTGACCAATTTTATTTGTGCGATTGTTGGCCAGGACACCGAGAGAGAGAAACTCCCTCCTCTTTTCCAATAGCCCCATGGCATTTTTAACGTCCATCTGAATAGGCAGATGGGAACCTCGGTTTAGTGTCTCATCTGAAGGATGGCACAATAAAATACAAAATGACATTTGTGCGGCACCTTTGATGTCAGGAGGATGTCCCAAGACTCTAGACAGTCAGGGACCTGGACAATGCACCTCCAACAATGCAATCCCCCCCCAGTACTGCATCAGAGTGTCAGCTAAGACTTATGTGATTCCAAGTCCTGATGTGAGGCTTGAACCCATAACCTCTGATTCAAAGGTGGGAGTACGACCAATTGAGCCAGGCTAACACACAGATGACACAGTCAGAGAGTAGTGTGTTAACTATGAGATCAGATCTTGTTAATGAGGCAGATACTGTCCACACCAAACTCCTGCCCGGACACTTTACATCACACACCTGCTCGGAGGCTGTTTCTCGCTAGCACCATTGTGTTACCTTGTCTGTCTCTCTAGTGCCATCATTGAGCTGATTCTGAGGCTGCCTGTGGTGTTTGACTGCTTTTGCTGTTTACTCCCTGGCCACTAGAGGATGCCTGATGCCATAGAAAAGCCCCCACACCTGCACTTGCACAGTGCTATCCACAAAAGATCATTTTCTGGGGGGCCAGCTGGATGTTTCACACACTTAAGAGTATCCAAACCAGACTGAGATTCCATGCATCCCACCTACATATGGAAATTCCAGAGATAGATTGCTGGAATGGAATGCACACCCTCTTCCTGGAAGGACACATCCTATTTACCTAATCCCGGAACGTATGAGGTGCACGTGGGCAGGAGCCAACGCTTGGGGACCCCAGAGTATGCTTTGGGGTCTAACCAGCTAAAACCGCATAGCTTGCCATTGAGAGCACTGCCTGGCAAGCTTTCCCGCTCCTTGTTCAGCTAGAACCATTGTAAACTGTAAACCAAACCCTGGGCAGGATGAAACCTTAGGTACGTTTCCTTATTCCACATACTTCTGTTTACCCAGCAGTAAATGGGATCCTGGTTGTTAGATGACTGGCAGATCATTTTCTGGCGGGAAGAATCCCTCAAAAAAATAATTTGGATTACCCAATCCACAACTGTTTGTTGGATCGCTGCTGTGCGCAGTTGTCTGCTGCATTTCACCCACAACATATACAGTCACTACACTTTACAGTATATTCTGTGAAGCTCTTTCAGATGTCTCGACAACATGATAAGATGCTGTATCAAATGCAAGGATTACTATTATGATGATGAACAAGCAGGAAGTGAAGTCAGTAGTAACCCAATGACGCTGTGGTCATGGTGGAGCATTATAAAGGGGCCGGGGTGGGTGGGGAGAGCGGTTTAAAGGGGCTGTGGCCAAGGGAGAGCCTGCTCATTCTCTGCTTTCTACTTTTTAGTTCTTGATCCTGGTCTTCTCATTTCTGCGGAAGGTCGCCTGGGATTACGGACGTCTCGCCATCATTCCCCACCATGAGGGGTAACTGATCACCACAGCAACTGGGAGAAACTCGGCGGGGTGGAGGCCAGCAGGGTTAGGTGGTTGGGGTGGGGCTGGGGGGAGTTTGGGAGGGGTTGGGGTGGGGTAAGGCGGACTGGGGCGAGAGGTTAAGAGATTAGGGTGGGGTTGGAAGGGGCTGGGGGCGGGGATGGGTGGTTTCTGGTGGAGATGGTTTGGGGTGGGGTGGTTTGGGGCGGAAGTGGTTTGGGGCGGAAGTGGTTTGGGGTGGGGTGGTTTGGAGCGGAGGTGGTTTGGGGCGGGGTGGGCAGGGGCAGGGGTGGGCGGGGGTGGGCAGGGGGTTGCAGTTTGAGGGTCTGACGCTGATCTCAATATAAAGGGGTTATTTTCAGTGAGGCGACAGAGAGGAGCACAAATGGAGCTGAATCCCGGGTGAGGGTCTTCTCTGGCACCTTGTGGATGAACGACGCTGTGAGTAGTCACCGGTCACCAACGATAGGATAATAGGACATAAACCAGAGAAAGACTCTGGGTGTTTGATATAGAGACGTCCGCATTTAACCCCATCTGAGACGCACGGCAGAGGGCACCTGAGCTTAATTACATCATCAGCGAATAGGAGGAAGATCAGGAAATAACTAATCAATAATAACATAATTAAAACCAGTAAACTGAGAACTAATTAACTAATAATTATAACTAATAAACTAAGAACTGGTAACTAGCTGCTAACAAATAAATGAATACTAATAAGTAACAAACAATCAATAATAACAACTAAAAACTAGTAAACAGCAGATTAATAAACTGGTGACTAATTAACCAATAGCTGTAAGTAATAAAATAAGAACTGCTAACTAATTGCTAATTAATAAATTAATCCTAATAACTAATCGATAATAACATGACTAAAAACTAATAAACTGAGTACTAATTAACTAACACTTTTGACTAATAAGCCAAGAACTGCTAACTGTTAACTAATAAATTACTGATAACTGATCAAATAACCCTAATTGATTAAGTAACCTAATTAACCTATTAACCAATGACTAATAAACCATTAACCATTAATAAACTATTAGATTATGAACTAACCATTATTAAAATAATGTAATGACTAATAAGCTAAATAATATAATAATAATAAATAAGCTAAACTGATAAGTAATAGCTGATAACAAATAAATAGATAACAACAAATTATATTTCCACGTGGTTCTGAAATGCACTTACACAAGTTTATCCTTTATATCAGGGTTTCTGTTCATGGCTGACTAGGATCTTCACCCTGCGGTAAGTCTGAGAGGGCTGCGTGAGAGTATCAGGGGCAGGTTGGCAAGAGCCAAGACTTGGAAACCCCAGAGTGTGCATTGGGGTAACTACTGGAATCTTAACCAACTAAAACTTCATAACTTGCCTTGAGAGCACTGTCTGCACTCTTTCCTTCTCCCCCTCAAACTCCTCCGTCACTCTCTCCTCCAGCCTGGAGTAATACTCCACCACTCCTCACACGCACACACTTTGGGGGGTCAGCCAGGTATCTAACACATGAAAAATCCTGCTTTCCATGCTTAAGCACTCTTGGACACTCCCCTGCGTGAGGGGTACGATATAAATGTAAATTGTTGTCGTCATTAAGAGTATCCAAACCAAACTGAGAATTCCATGCATTCCACCCTCATATGGAAATTCCTGTGATAGATTTTTAGAATGGAATGTGCACTCTCTCCCTGGAGGGACACATCCTGTTTACCTAATTCCAGAAAATATTAGGTGCAGGTTGGCAAGAGCCAAGGTTTGGGGACCCCAGAGTGTGCGTTGGGGTAACTGCTGGAGTCTAACCAGCTAAAACCACGTAGCGTGCCATTGAGAGCACTGGCTGGTAAGATCTCCTGCTGCTTGTTCAGCTTGGATCACCCTACCCTTTAGGGCTTTGGTTTGCAGGGTTAACACGAGCTGAGTGGGATGATTCCCTTTCCGCAGTGACTGGTCTCTCCTATGTCTTGCTGAAGAGCCAGGCTGTCTATGCTATCATCAGTAGAGTGACTGTTTTGGGTCGGTGTAATTGGCTTCTCTTGTTCCCGTCTCCTGCCTGTAGCCCGACAATGGGATTGGGTGGTAATCTCGCTACACACGCCTGACCCTCTTCCCGTTTCTTCCCCCTTGTATTTTCCAGGGATGAGGAAATCCGGGAGCAGTGCGGGGACGATGCCATTCAATACTTGTCCTTCCAGCGTTATGTCATAGTGCTTCTGACAGCCCTCAGCGTCCTGTCCGTCGCAGTCATCCTCCCCGTCAACCTCTCCGGCAGTTTGCATAGTGAGTCAACATCTACTTCAGATCCAGAGAGGAGACCAGGAGCGATGTTTTTAGGCAGAGTTGTTACGGTCTGAAATGCACTGTCTGAAAGTGTGGTGGAAGCAGATTTGATAAAATTAGATAAGTGCTTAAAAAAAGGCAAAATTTGCAGGGCTATTTGCAGGGAGTGGGACTAGTTGGATAGCTCTTTCAAAGAGCTGGCACAGGCACGGTGGGCCGAATGGCTTCCTTAAGTGCTGTTATGATTCAGGCCAGTCCCACTGAGCAGAGTGAGGGGCCGGGTCAGTTTCAGGAGGTCGCAACAACAACAGTTACATTTGTACAGCGCCTTTCACATCAGGAGGACGTCCCAAGGTGCTGGACAGTCAAAGATTTGCACTTAAGCTGGTGGTTGGGATCAGGTGGAGGTCAGCGAGGGTAGGGTTAGAAGGGCGACCAAAGGCACGGTGCAAGAAGAAGATCTTGAGGTGGGCCTTGAAGGAGGCAAGGGAGGAGGCCAGGCGGAGGGCCTCAGGGATGGAGTTCCAGAGGGTGGGTCATAAAGGCTGACATCACGGAAACCCATCATTGTGATCAGCCGGGTATCTGACACGCGCGGAAACCCTTCACCGTGTTTAAGAATTTCCTAACCAGACTGAGAGTTCCACATATGTATGTCACCAACACGTGAAAATTTCTGTGTGTCTGGAATGCAATGCACCATCTCTCCCTGGAGGAACACATCCTGTTTACCTAATTCCAGAGAGTATGAGGCACAGGTTGGCAAGAACCACAGCTTGGGGACCCCAGAGTGTGCGTTGGGGTAACTGCTGGAGTCTAATCAGCTAAAATTGCATAGCTTGCCATTGATATCTTTGTCTGGCAAGCTTTCCCGCTGCTTGTCCAGCTAGGACCACCCTACCTGTAAGGGCTTTGGTTTACAGATTAACAGAGGCTAAGACGGAGGATTCTCTGTCCCCAGTGACTGGATTGCCCTTCCAAGTCCCTGTAATGAGCCAGGTTGGCTGTGCTGTCATCAGCGGTGCCCTGGAATATTGTGGACCTGCCTGGCTCAGGAACCGGACTAGAGACTGTTATAGAGGACTGGCTCGATTCCGACATTCCGTTGCCGAGCATGTCCAGTGGAGACACTGTGTAAATCCAGCTTTGTTTCTCTCGTCACATTTTTAGCCAATGATCCTATAAGTTTTGGCCGAACGACCATCGCAAACATGAAGACAGAGTGAGTATATGTCACCAAGCTGCAGGTCACCCTAACTCTCCTCCTTTCTCCTCTCCTCTTTTCTGTCTGAAGAGAGAAGTATTCTGTCTCTCTTGGTTTAACATCTCAACCGTCCTTCAAATGAGACGATAAACTGATGTCTCTTCTGCCTGTTCAGGTGGATAACAAAGATCCTGTGGCGCTATTTGAAAAGAAAAGGGAGTTTGTCTCTGGTCGACAATCTCCCAGATAATCCCCCAGATAAAATTAGTCATTCACATCTTGGCTGTTTGTGGGATGTTGCTGTGCGCAAACTAGCTGCACGTTTCGCTCGCAAAGTACACAGTAAAAATCACCGGGGGTGGGGGGAAGAAGGAGGAGTTAAGCTAGGTTGAGTGTGAAATATGCTGACTTGTGACTTGTGCTTTCTTTGACAGCAATAACCTGCTGTGGTTACACACGGTCTTTGCTGTCATTTATTTATTGCTCACAATCTTCATCATGAAGCACCACACCTCCAGGATGCAATACACAGAAGACCATGTGGTACGTTTACAATAACTCAACCTTTCCTGTGCTTTCTGACATCTAGGCCTGGCTCAGTCACTCGCGTTCTCTGTCTCTCTTGCCTGAGTCACAAGGTTGTGCGTTTAAGCCCCCACATGAAGACTTTCAGCCCACAGTCCAGGCAGATGCTTCAGTGCAGTGCTGGACATCCTACAGTTGAGACATTAAACTGAGGTCACATCTGCCTGTTCAGGTGGACATTAAAGATCCCATGACACTATTCGAAAAGAATAGGGAGATTCTCTCTCCCGGTGTGCTGGCCAACAATCCCTCAGATTAAATTGGTTACTCCGTGGCTGTTTGTGGGACCTTGCTGTCAATTGATTTTACAGTATATCCTGTGAAGAACTTTGAGATGTCACAACAATATGATAAGGCACTGTGTTAATTGCAAGGATTATTATAATTTTGGGGCATTGCAACATGCAAATTGTCTAGTGTATTCACCTACAATATACAGTCACTTCACTTTAAAAATCTTACGAAGCATTTTGAACCATGTGATAAAACGCTATGTCAGATGTAAGGATTATGATGATAAGACAGTTCTGTGTGCCAGGTATGGTGTCCCACAAACAGTTGTGGATTGAGTGACCAAATTTGTTTTTGTTTTTCGAGGGATTATTACCCCGGCAAGCGATCCACCAATTGACTAACAATCAGGTTCCTACTTACTGCTTGGTAAACAGAGGTGTATGGAGGAAGGAAACTTGCTTAAGGTTTTGCCCCATATGGGAATTGAACCTGGGTGCTCTCGCTTGCAAGGCAAGCACTCTAACCACTATGCTACAGGACTCCACAGTTGAATCTGTTACAAAAAGCTATGTTGTTTGACTGTTGTAGCCAGGCTGATGGCTCTCTGATGCTGTGGTTGTCTCTCCAGTCTAAATGCACATTGTTTATCGCCGGGATCCCCAAAGGCACCAGTGAGGACACCATAACCCAATACTTCAGGTAAATGGGACAGAGCCCAGTGTCCAGAAGGCAGTGCAACAACCACAGACTGTTGGTGCCCACACTGGGCTAGTGTCACATCTTTAACAGGCACAATGTAATGGGGATCAGTGGGGAGAGCAAGCGGGGAGTTGGGTGCTTAGGTTGGAGAGGGAGTGGGGTTTGGATGTGGGTTGGATGGGTGGGTCATTTGGGGGGTAAGTTGGTTGGTAGGTTGGTGGGGTTGAGGGAGGGGGTAGGATTTGGGGATGGGGGAACAGGTGTGGGGCACATCAGTTGGGGTTGAGTGGATGATTTGGAGAGGGGGGCCTTGGGTTTGTGTGGAACGGTTTGCGGGGTTGGTTGGGTGGGTGGGTTGGGGGGTTAAGAAGCCCCACCTCCCATTTGCTGTTTGCTGTGAATTTCCCCCGTCACTCCACTCTGTCATGACTCAGTGACTTCTGTTGCAGTGAGGCCTATCCCACAGTCAGCGTGTTGGATGTGCAGCGATGCTATGACGTGGCGAGGCTGATTAAGGTGGATGTGAAGAGGTGAGGAGGAAATGGTGTGAGCATTCCCGGGCAGCACCAAGTGTCAGGAGAACGAGGAGGCCATTCAGCCCATCTAGGAGTCCTGTAGCATAGTGGTTAGTGTCTTGCAAGCGAGGGGAATCCTCCCACTCAGCTCCTGTTAACCCTGCAAGCCAAACCCCTAACAAGTGGGTGGCCCTAACTGGACATGCACCAGGAAAGCTTGTCAGACAGCGTTCTCAATGGCATGCTATGAGATTTTAGCTGGTTAGACTCCAGCAGTTACCTCAATGCACACTCTGGGGTCCCCAAGCCTTGGCTCTTGCCAACCTGCGCCTAATACTTTCCAGAATTAGGTAAGCAGATGTGTCCCTCCAGGGAGAGAGTGCACATTCCATTCCAAAAATCTATCTCTGAAATTTCCATGTGTAGATGCAGGGAGTTCTCAGTTTGGTTTGGATACTCTTAAGCACGGTGATGGGTTTTCGCATGTGACAGACACCCGGCTAACGTAAAATAAAACATGAAAAGCTATTGAGGTGCAGGTGGAAAGTGCTCCGAGACACTAACCCATGTGAAGGATGCTATATAAATGCAGGTAGCGCTCTCAGAAGGTTGTAGGTAGTTGTTCTTGTTAATTTGATTTCAAAATCCCTTCACACCCTGGCATCTCCCTAACTCTCCGATCTGCTTACCCCACCTCTCCACCACCTCCCCTCGACTGGCTCTGGCCTCCTGCTTGTCCCTCGTCTCCTCCGCTTCACCATTGGTGGCTATACTTTCAGCCACTGCGCCCCGAAACTCTGGAACTCTCTCTCTCACTCCCTTTGCCTTGCCACGTCTTTCCCCATAATCAGTTCATGCCTGAAGACCTTCCTCTTCAAACGTGCTTATGGTCGGCAACGGGCTCCGACACTGTTAAGCGCTCCGAGACTGTACGCTCCGTGAAGGACGCTATATAGATGCAGATTGTTGTTGTTGATATGGTATTCTGCCCCCTGCAGGCGGAAGGTGGAACGCAGTGGGAGGTACTACACAGACCTGCTGCAGAGAGAGGGGCAGCATGTGCGGATTAACACCAAACCTTGTGGCCAGTTCTGCTGCTGTGATGTCAGCGGGTGCGAAAGGGTGAGTGGCTAACAGTCAGCCAGAGCCTGTGCTGGGCTGTGTCAGTCTGACTCAGTGGTAGTGCTCTCACCTCTGAGTCAGAAGGTTGTGGGTTCAAGCCCCACGTCGGGATCTAGAATCACCTGGTGTAAACTGACACTCCAATGCAGTGCAGGGGAAGTGCTGCATTGTCGGAGGGGCCGTCCTTTGGATGAGATATTAAAAACCGAGGTCCGTCGGACTCTTCAGGTGGCATTAAAAATCCCATGACACTATTAGAGAAGGGAGTTTCTCTGTCCCGGTGTTCTGGCCAACAATCCCCCAAATAAAATTGGTCACTCACTCCATGGCTGTTTTCTGGTCGATGCTGGTTGCAATTGTGATACATTTTGCCCACAATCCACTTTGCAATACATCCTGTGAATATTTCCTTTAAAGGAAAATGGCGATGAGGAGCCTCCACCAAACCATGATGTCCCTCCATCGCCAATGTGTGTGTATGTGAATCGGTGGTGCATTCATGAGCCAGACAGTCCGCAGTATTCCAGGGCACTGCTGATCACAGCACAGCCCAGGTTGCTTTATTGGCAGGATGTGGAAGGGCAGATCAGTCACTCGGGGCAGGGAATCCTCACACTGAGCCGCTGTTAACCCTACAAACCAAAGCCCTAACTGGTAGGGTGGTCCTAGCTGGGCAAACAGCGGGAGAGCTTGCAGGACAGCAATATGAATGGCAAGCTATGTGGTTTTAGTTGGTTTAGACTCCAGCAGTTACCTCAATGCACACTCTGGGGTTCCCAAGCCTTGGCTCTTACCAACCTGTGCCAGAAACGTTCCGGTATTAGGTAAGCAGGATGTGTCCCTCCAAGGAGAGAGTGCGCATTCCATTCCAACAATCTCTCTCTGGGATTTCCATGTGTAGGTGGGATGCATGCAATTCTCAGGTTGGTTTGGGTACTCTTAAGCGTGGGGATGGGTTTCCGCAGGTGTCAGTCACTGGTTGACCACTCCCCCCCCCCACCTCACTCTACTCCCTTCCTCAAAAAGAAATGTGTGTGTTTGGGCAGGTGGATGCAGTGGAGTACTACTCCGGCTTGAAGGAGAGAGTGATGGAGGAGTTCGAGAGGGAGAAGGAGAGAGCGGAGAGTAAACCCCTCGACCTGGCCTTCGTCACCTTCCAGGACACCAGTATGGCAACACTGTAAGTTTGTCAACTCGGCAACCTTGCCTGTAAGCATGGTACCCGCCCACTCCCCCCACCAACCCCATTTTCACCTGTAACATTCGCATTCTCGCCTCCGAGTCTGCAGGTGCTTTATTACATCCAGACTTGACTACGCTAACTCCCTGCTCCCTACTCTTCCCAACTCTTTCCTCCACATGTCCTTTCCTGCATGTAGCTCTATGAGCCAATCACCCCGATCCTTGTCCAGCACCACTGGCTCTCCATCCCCCAGAGGATCAAGTTTACCATCCTCGTCCCCCTCCTTTAAATCCCTCCATGGTCTTGCTCCTCCCACCACCTCTGTGACCTATTAACACCATCACCAACTTGTCCGCTCCCTCCGCTCTGCAGGCACTGGCCTAGTCCACGTCCCCTAAGTTGCCTTCTCCACTTCTGCCCCCATTCTCTAGAATCCCATCCCGGAGCCCCTCAGCTTCACCCCCTCCCTCGCCTCCTTCAATTCCCATCTCAACACCTTCCTCTTTGACTGGGCTTTTGGTCATCTTCCCTTCTCCACCCCCTGTTGCCCTCCACCCCACTCGCGAGTGTGAAACCCTCATTGTCCAGCACCTTGGGACATCCTCCTGACATGAAAGGCGCTGTATAAATGCAATTTGTCGTTGTGGGTTCAAGCCCCACGTTGGGACTTTAAGCTCACAGTGTAGGACATTATTATTATTATTCTCCTGGAAGGTTTCTGCAGAACTCAATGACTGGATTTGGGATTGCGGCACCAGTGGTGGTGGTGGTTTGCTGCCCTCCTGTGGCAGATATTGTGTACTGCAGTGACACAATGTATCTGGTGATTGCTTCACCAGTTCCTATCTCACTCCCATCCTCCTCCACTCTGTTCGGGAAAGCTCTACATGTGGGTCAGCCTGGCTCAGTGGTAGCGCTCTCGCCCCCAAGTCAGAACATTGGGGGTTCAAGCCCTGCATCGGGACTTGGAATCATATAGTCTAAGCTGGCGCTTCAATGCAGTGCTGAGGTTGTGCTCCATTGTCAGAAGTGCTGTCCTTCGGATGAGACGTTAAAGGTCCCATCTGCCTGCTCAGGTGAACGTTAAAGATCCCGGGTACTATTCAAGAGAAGGGAGTTTCCTTCCTTAACATCCACTTGAATGTTAGAGCAGGGAGTTCCTCTTTCCCGGTGTCCTAGTCAACAATCCCCCAAATAAAATTTGGCGCTCACTACATGTCTGTTTGTTGGACATTGCTGTGTGCAAATTGGCTGCATTTCACCCACAAAATACACAGTCAATCCACTCAATATATGATATCCTGTGAAGAGCTTTGAGATGTCCTGATGACATGATAAAGCACTATATCAAATGCAAGGATTATTATTATTCACATACAGACAAGCGCAGATTTTATGAGGGAGGAGAGGGGGGGGGGTGTTTCTGGACAGTTATCAGGAGCAGGAACAGGTTGATTTCCACCCCCCGTTCCCAGAGCTTTTTCCAGTCAGTCTGCAACTGATTCTGAGCTGTGGGTACTTCTGCACTCCCTCCGCTCAGATGGCTCCAGCCTGCTCCTCATCCCTGGTCGGGCCTTCAACCTTCCTGCCACCAGCCTTTGGAACTCCATCCTGGAGCCCCTCTGCCTCTCCCTTGCCTCCTTCGAGGCCTGTCTCAAGATCCTTCTCTTCGACCATGCCTTTGGTCACCCTCCTACACCTAACCTTCCTGCCCTCCACCCATCCTGATCCCAACACCTAGCTCGGGTTGAAATCCTTGACTGTCCAGCACCTTGGGACTTCCTTTCCGACATGAAAGCCACGGTGTAAATGTAATTTGTTGTTGTGGGTGGGGAGAATTGTAATCTCCGGGTGCCCGGGCTCTCTATCTCTTGACCTCAAACCTTCTCTGACCTGCAGTGTCCTGAGAGATTTCAACACCGTCAGATGTCATGGATGTACATGGCGGGCAGAACCTCAGCCGTCGTCCTTCAGTCAGACACTTCACCCACAATCATGGACAGTCAGCTATGCTCCCGAGTCCCCGACCATCTACTGGTAACATACAGAGGAGCGTCATCAGCTCATTCCTACTTACCTTCCTCCTCTTATATTTTTCACATGCTCCAGAATCTGAAACCATCTTCTGGTAACATAGAGTCCCGTAGCAAGAGCACCTGGGTTCGATTCCCGGACGGGGTTAAAGGTAGTGCATGAGGGGGAAAGGGGTGGCATCCAATGCTAGTGCTACCATGATGACTAAAGAAATTGGGATTAAAATGAAACAGAAATAGGAGGCTTATGATAAATGTTAGGTTCATAACACAGTCGAGAATCAAGCGTAAATGGAATAAGACAGGCAAAGAGAGGGTATAAGAAAAGATTAGCGGGTAACATAAAAGGGAATACTAAGGTCATTTTATAAACATATTAAGATTAAAAAGGATAGTCAAAGGAAGGGTGGGAACAGTTAGGGACCAAAAAGGAAAGCTTCCTATGGAAGCAGAGGGCGCTTTGAGAGCACATGAGCACTTTGCATCTGTCTTTCTTTTGGTCAGCCGGGCGTCTGACTCATGTGGAAACCCATCACCATTCTTAAAAATATCCAACCCAAGCTGATAATTCCATACATCCCACCTACACATGGAAATTTCAGAGATAGATTGTTGGAATGGAATGTGCACTCTCTCCCTGGAGGGACGGCTCCTGCTTACCTCGTTCCAGAAAGTATTAGACGTAGGTTGGCAAGCCCCAAGGCTTGGGGATCCCAGAATGTGTGTTGGGGGTAACTGCTAGAGTCTAACTAGTCTTTCCTGATTCTCTGACAGGGAGAATATCTCAGTCCACGGGATCCGCTGGTGGAGCAGTTGTCTCATTATCAACTTTTTCCTCTTTATTCTGCTCTTTTTCCTCACCACCCCTTCCATCGTCCTTTCCACCATGGACAAGTTCAACGTCACCAAACCCATCGAGTACCTGAACGTAAGTTGCTCACAACCTAAGAGTGTGTTTGCTGGTACCCTTTATACTGCCTTGCGTGTGTATCCCAGAGGCTATGCATAGACAGGAAGTTATGTTGATGGGAGCAGAAAGTTACGAAGGAACATAGACAGATTAAGTGAGTGGGCAAAACTGTGGCAGATGCAATTCAATGTGGTCAAGTTTGAGGTCATCCACTATGGATCCAAGAAAGACAAATAGGAATCCAAGAAAGACAAATCGGAATATTTTCTTAATGGTGAGAAACCAGGAACTGTGGAGGAGCAAAGAAATTTGGATGTCCATGTACACACATCATTAAAAACTAGTTCACAGTTACGGAAAGTAATTAAAAAGTCTAATGGGATGTTGGCTTTTATCTCAAAGGGGACTGGAATATGAAGGAGAGGAAATGATGCTTCAATTGTATAGAGCCTTGGTCAGACCCCATCTGGAGTACTGCGTTCAGTTTTCGGCACCACACCTCAGGAAAGATATATTGGCTCTGGAGGGCAGATTCACCAGAATGACATCTGGGCTAAAAGGGTTAAATTACGAGGACAGGTTGTATAAACTTGGTCTCTATTCCCTTGAGTTTAGAAGGATGGGGGGATGATCTGATTGAAGTGTTTAAAATGATAAAGGGATTTGATATGGTAGCTACAGAGAAACTATTTCCTCCGGTGGGGGAATCCAGAACAAGGGACATTATTTTAATATTAGAGCTAGGCCATTTAGAAGTGAAATGAGGAACACTATTTCACACAAAGGATAGTGGAAATGTGGAACTACGATGGTGGGGTGGGCAGGGCGGGGGACACGGAACAGATCGGAGTCCGCTGAGCATGCCAATTTTATTATTGGTTTTGGTTTTGGAGGGAGCAGACAGGTTGGTATGGATTTGAACTCAGGTCTCTCGCTTGCAAAGCGAGTGCTCTAACCACTGAGCTACAGGACTCCAGTTGTGTTTAAAAGGTTACAACTGGATTTCCAATTTTTTAAATACAGTTTTTATACTGGATTGTAGTTTACACTTGATGGTAAGTACCACCCTTAATCATATTTAATTGACATGGTTAATAACAATCCAATTCAAGATGACAAAAACACCCATTCTTTCCAGTTAATAATTACGTATGTATCAAATGTATTAAATCTTTAGTCCCATAGCCCAGTGGTTATTGCGCTCGCCTCGCAAGCGATAGGACCCTGGTTCGATTCCCGGGGAGGGTAAAACTTTAGGTAAGTTTCCTTACTCCACATGTCTTTATTTACCTAGCATTAAGTAGGAACCCAGTTGTTAATTGATTGGCCGATCGCTTTCCAGAAGTAATAATCCCTAACAACAAAAATTGGTCACTCAATCCAAGACTGCTGTGTGCATTTGGCTGCCGTGTTTTGACCATAAAATACACAATCAATTCACTTTATAGTATATCCTGTGAAGCATTTTGAGACATCTCAATGATGTGATAAGGTGCTACATCAAATGCAAGCTTTGTTATAATTATTAATTCTATTTTATCGTTTTATTTCTGGTTATCTGGTTATCGTCCCATTATCCAGAGTCCCATCATCAGTCAGTTTTCATCCACGTTTCTGCTCTGGACTTTCTCTGCCCTCCTTCCCATCCTGGTGCTCTACTCCTCACTGCTGGAACGCCACTGGACAAGGTAGGAAGCCATCTCCTTATCTCTTCCCCACCCCCCGTCACCAATCCATTCCGACTGTACACATTCCCAATGGCCCAAACCCCTTCCCATTCATTCCCAGTGGAGTACACAATCGGCAAATTTATCTGGGAAATACGGTCACTCTCCCAGCTACTTTTTTTGGTGCGTCAGCCTGGCTCAATCAGTTGGACTCTCACCTCTGTGTGCATATTGGCTGCTGTGTTCGCCTACAAAACACAGTCACTACATTTGACAATATGTCCTGTGAAATGCTACCCAAGTGAAAAGCGCTGTATAGATGTAAGTTGTTTTTGTTGTTAAGGCTCTTTGACATCCCCCTGATGTGAAAGGTGCTATATCAAATGCAAGGATTGTTATTATTATGATTAATTTATTCATCTCTAAATTCTTGCTCCAGGTCGGCAGAAAACCGGATCACAATGCACAAACTCTACACCTACCTCATCATCATGGTGTTGATCCTGCCCTCACTGGGCCTCACCAGGTAACTCGCTCGCACTGAAAGTCTGTCCACCCTTCTGGGGCACAGTATGTAATTGAGTCCCATAGTGTAGTGGTTAAAGCCCTTGCCTTGCGAGAGGACCTGGGTTGAATTTCCGAGCAGGAGAAAAACTTAGGCAAGTTTACCTGTGTTTAGCAGTAAGTAGGACCCCGGTTTTCAATCGATTGGCGGATCGCTTTGAGGGGGTTATTATCCCTCCAAAAAAGAAAAATGTGTTCACTCAATCCAGGACTGTTTGTGGGACACTTTTGTGCGCAATTGGTTGCTGTGTTTCTCCCACAAAATGTACAATCACTCCACTTTACAAAATATTCTGTGAAGCGCTTTGGGCTGTCTGAACAGCATGATAAGGTGCTGTGTCAAATGCAAGGATTATAATAATGGTTTCTAATCCTCATTAATAAAGTGCTACACAGGAATTTCTGTGAAGGGACTGTATTTGGAGATAAAGATTCCCCACAATTAGCCTTCTTGATGACTGATTTATTTGGGGGATTGTTGGCCAGGACACTGGAGGAAGAGGAAAAACTCCCTTCTCTTTTGAAATAGTGCCCCTGCATCTTTAACATCCACCGGAACATGTACAGACACTAAGTGTGAGTCTCATTGTTATAGTTTGGATGTCTTCTTCCGTTGGCTGTTTGACAAGAAGTTTCTGGAAAATGGCAAGATCCAATTTGAGTGAGTATCTGCGATTGGGGAGTGGTGAGAGGGTTAAAAACTTTCTGTGGGGCTGAACACAGCTATGTGTTGGGGGGTGGGAAGAGGTGTGTGTGCATGGGGCAGGGATGGGATGTGTGTGTCTGTTGGTGGGGTGTGAAGGGGAGTTGATCCTGATAACTACCTGGTTTCTGTTGCTGTAGGTGTGTGTTCCTCCCTGACCAGGGAGCTTTCTTTGTTAATTATGTGATCGCTTCGGCCTTCATTGGAAATGGGATGGAGCTGCTCCGCCTTCCCCAGCTGCTGCTCTACACCGGCCGCATGATCCTGGCCAAGACAGCCGCCGAGAGGAGTGTCGTCAAGCAGGTCACTGCCCCCCACCCCCCTACCCTCCACCCCCGCTTTGCCAAATTAAAGGGATAGAGTAACAATGGCCTGGGACAGGTACTCCCTCACTCTACACTGTCCATCCACACTCATAGGTCAGGGTGAGAGGCAGAATATGGGAGGATGTACGTGGGAGGATGTGTGTATGTGGAGTCACTGTCTCTGACTCGTGTCTCTCTGTGCGTTTGCAGCACCAGGCGATCGAGTGTGAGTTTGGAGCAAGTTACGCTTGGATGCTGTGCAGTGTGACCGTGGTGGTGGCTTACAGCATCACCTGCCCCATCATCGTACCGTTTGGTGAGGACCCTGCACACTGGCCCCTACCCTAACCACACGGGGGGAAGCAGCTATCAGTGAAGATCGAGTCCTGCAGCATAGTGGTTAAGAGCATTTGCCTCGCAGAGGAATCGGGTTCGATTCCCAGGCAGGGTGAAACCTGAGACAAGTTTCTTTACTCCATATGCCTGTTTACCTAGCAATAATGCTAATATTAATCCTTGCATTCGATATTCCGCCTTAACACATCTTTGAGCAAGTTGGAACCCGGTTGTTAGTCGATTGGCAGATCAGTTTCTGGGGGGAATAATCCCTCAAAACAAATGTGGCCACTCAATCCATGACTGTTTGTGAGGCACTTCTTTGCTCAATTGGCTGCCGCATTTCTCCCACAAAATGTGCAGTCATTTCACTTTACAGTATATTCTCTGAAGCGCTTTGAGACTTCTCAACAATGTGATAAGGCACTATATCAAATGTAAGGATTATTATTATAAAATTCACTAACAGGTACCTGTGTCTCTTGATCAGGCCAGAACCTGGTAACTCACATCATAGACATAGGCAGGATGTAGTGTGTTGGGTGTGTGTGGAATCAGATGGGATACCCATTTCCGTGAGACACAGGTGATGTTTTCAGGGTGTGGGAAGGGGCAGAGAGGGATGAGCAAACGTGTTTTTTTGGGGGGGAGGGGAAAAGAGATTGGGTGTGTAGGGGGGTGTCTGGTGAGTACATGACGGGCTGTTCCCCTCCCCGCAGGGCTGATCTACACTCTCCTGAAGCACATGGTGGATCGACACAACCTGTATTACAGTTTCCTGCCAACCCGGCTCGATCGCAGGATTCACTCTGCTGCTGTCAAGCAGCTGCTCGCTGCCCCCATTATCTGCCTCTGCTGGCTGCTCTTCTTCTCTGTGCTGCGTGGGGGTAAGACTCTGCCCACATCCCCCCACCCCCATTCACCCCTGCCTGCCCCAGCGCACACCTCTGCTCTCTGTCAGCCTGGCTCAGTGGTGGCACTCTTGCCTCCGAGAGCTCTACTGCTGTGACGTTAGCAGGTGCGAACGAGTGAGCAGTTTACTGTCAACAGCCTGTGATAGGCTGTGTGTGAGCCTGACTCAGTCGAACACACTATCGCCTCTGAGTCAGAAGGCTTTTGCGTTCAAGTTGCATTGTCAGAGGCATTATTCTTCAGATGTGACATTAAACCGAGCTCCTTGTCTGCCTGTTCAGGTTGATATTAAAGATCCCGTGGCGCTATTCGAAAAGAGAAGGGAGTTTCTCTCTCCCGGTGTCCTGGCCAACAAACCCCCAAATAAAATTGGGTCACTCAATTCATGGCTGTTTGTGTGACGCTGCTGTGTGCAAACTGGCTGTCGCGTTTCACCTACAATATACGCAGTCACTACACTTTACAGTGTATACTGTGAAGCGCTTTGAGACATCTCGACGTGATAAGGCACAGGATCAAAGGATTATTATTACGCAGCTCTATATAAAGATACTCACCCGATTTCCCACCCCCAACCTCTGCTCTCTACAGCAACACCCTCTTCCCTCCTCTTGTGTTTACTCTCATTCCCCCCTCTCTCTCATCTCAGGAGTCAACGCCTCAACCTCCATCTTCACGTTCTTTGTGCTGGTGCTGACCATCCTCGCCTGCCTCGCCGCTGGCTGTTTTGGTTTCTTCAAGCGCTACTTTGACAACCTGCTGGTAAGGTCTTGGGTCAGGAGACAGACTCGGTCCAGTCTGCCAGTGTGTTGGGGGTGGGGGGCTTGCGTGGGAGGAATTTTTGGGGATCAGCTGGGAGTCTTGACTCATGTGGAAACCCATCGCTGTGCTTAAGAGTATCCAAACCAAACTCACAATTCCATGCACCCACCTACAAATGGAAATCCCAGAGATACAATGTTGGAATGGAACGTGCACTCTCTCCCTGGAGGGACGCATCCTGCTTACCTCATTTTGAAAAGTATTAGGCGCAGGTTGGCAAGAGCCCAGGCTTGGGGACAGCAGTGTGTGTGTTGGGGAAACTGCTGAAGTCTAACCAACTAAAACCACATAGCTTGTCAACAACTACTCCAGGGCTGACACACTGGCTCATACACAGGATAAGCCCATTCAGCTCAAGTGTGTTTTTCCAATTCGTTAGATCATGACATCTTTTACACACCCCTGAACAACCTTACTCCCCAAGTATCTCTCCCCTTCCGTTTTAAAACAGTGTGAGAGGAGGCGAGGGAAGCACTGCATTGTCGGAGATGCCGTCCTTTGAATGAAATATTAAACCGAGGTTCCGTATGTCAAAGATCCCCTGGCATTATTGGAAAAGAGTAGGGAGTTTCTGCTCCCAGGAGTTGGCTACCAATCCCAGATAAAATTGCTCATTCACTTCAGTTGTTTATAGGACGTTGCTACATGCAAATTGGCTAACAGTCACTACGCTTTACAGTAAATACTGTGAAGTCACTTTGAGACATCTTCCTGATGTGAAAGACTCTTTATAATGATTATTAAACATCCCAGTTGTTTCAGCCTTTAGAGTTCAGGAGCAGAATTTCCCCTCCTTGTTGCCTCCGCTCTGTGCTGTGAGGTCTCCTCGTTGACTCCGCTCTGTGCTGTGAGGTTTGAGGTTTTTTGATTTCACTTCTTGTCACTTTAGTGCTCAGTGTAAGAGAAGGTGCCTTTGTTTTAAACCTTCAGGGTAACAGGCCCCCAGATCAGCAAACACCCCAGGAGCCAGTGGACACCACCATGAAATCTGATGTAAGTAAGAGGGAAAGCTTTCACACTAGCTCAGTTGGTTACCCTCACCTTCGGGTTAGAAGGCTGATGGAACAAACTGACAAGCTCTCCTACCTTATACATTATATCATTATCCATTATACTATCATTATACTTTATATATATGTTGGGATGTATCAAAAGATCAATAGCAAGCTGAAATAGTGGGGTAATCCGGCCATTGTATAAATCATTGGTGAGATCATACTTAACTGTGTACAGTTCTGGTCGCCGCAGTACAAAAAGGATATTGGAGAAATCGAAAAGATGCAGAGGAGGGCAACCAATATAATTGAGGGAATGGAAGGACTGGACTATGAGGAGCGACTAAGTAAATTGGTCATGTTCACGCTGGAAAAGAGATTGAGAGGCGACAATGATTGCTGTTTTTAAGATTCTAAAGGGGCAAGACAATGTAGATCATGACAGGCTCTTTCAACTTGTCCAGAAAAGTAAAACCAGAGGACACGGCCTGTGATTGAAGGGGGGTAAATTCAGAACAAATCTACACAAACACTGTTTCAACGAGCGAATAATGAACATGTGGAACAGGTTCCCTAGGGAGATGGTTGAAGCAGGAAGTGTTGATTCTTTCCAAGACAGACTAGATAGTTTTCTTTTGGGAAATAACATTATGGGATATAGTACATAGGTAGTTTGGGACGTATGTGCATGAGACTGCCAGGAAGGTGGAAACTGAACTAGATAGACCCTGGTCATTGTTCACTAGCATTTATGTTCTTATATTATTATGCATTATATCGCAAGCGAGAAGACCCAGGTTTGATTCCTGGTCAGGGCAAAACCTTAGGCAAGTTTCCTTACTCCACCCATCTCTAAGGTGTGTCAGGTAAGGAAACTTGCCTAAGATTTCGCCCCGCTCAGGAATCTAACACAGCTGCTCTTGCTTGTGAGGCGAACGTGCTAACCACTACACTACGGAACTCTACTTTTTAACTTGTTCTCTGTTGCACTATTGAAGGCCTACACCCCCAGAGTATTGCGGGTCCCCTTGTCAGAGTCCAGCCCCCTGGAACCCCGGAGCCAGAAGTCATACGGAACCCTGGAGGAGCAGGGCGGGCAGAACTTGGACGATAGTGACGACGTCTGTTTGGTGGAAGCTGGATCCAGTGAGGTATAGAAAGGCACTTCTGCAATGGAGCTGCAATCCTCATCCTTGCCTTCAAAGTCCTCAATAGCCATGCTCCTCCCTACCTCTGTGACCTAACTCTACATGAGCCTGTCGACTCACTCCACTCAACAGACTCTGGCTTGCGCCATTTCCCCCATCGTCAGCGGTTGGCCCTTCAGCCTTTCTGCCCCCAGCCTTTAGAATTCCATACCACATTTTCTTCGCCTTGCTCCCTTCAAGGCCCGTCTCAAGACCTTCCTCTTCACCCAAGCCTTTGGTCATCGTATCCCCACTCTCCATCCCTCCTGATCCCAAGCCCCTTCTTGGATACACATCCTTGATTTGTCCAGTGCTCTGCATCATCCTCCAGACATGAAAGGCACTGTGTAAATGTAATGTGGTGGTGGTGTTGGATGGTCAGCACTTTTGGCACTTCTGTTTAGGGTCATCTAACAGGGGGACAAACAGAACAGTGCCTATTTTTAGCAATTTCCCAACTAATTCCATTTATTTAGGTGTTCAATTAACCCAATTGAACATGCAATATATTTTATTGGGGAGAAATTTTGCAACATTTTCAAAGCTCTGCAAACTTAATTGTTCAATTATCAACCCTCTCACATATCCACCTCCATGCTTGCCTTCCTTCATTTCCCCCCTCCCTCATCTGCAAACCTCTCACTCACTGTCCAAGGAAGATTTGTACTGGTCTGATCGAGCTTGGCCCATTATGCTCCCACCTGTCTGTCAGCTCACATCAGACCACCCGTTGCCATCAGGATTATCAAAGGAGGAGAAAGAACAAACCACACAGTGCGACAAGCAAATTAACACATTAATTGCTGCTATTTCCTGTGGTGGAGAAATCCAGAACAAGGGGGCATCATCTTAATATTAGAGCTGGGCCATTTAAGAGTGAAATCAGGAAACACTTTCACACAAAGGGAAGTGGAAATCTGAAACACTCACCCTCAAAAGGCTGTGGATGCTCCATCCATTCACATTTTAAAGACTGAAGTGGATAGATTTTTGTTAGATAAGGATATCAAGGAATATGGAGTTGAGGTGCATATCAGCCATGATCTAACAGAATGGCAGAACAAGCTTGAGGGGCTGAATAGCCTCTTCCTGTTCCTATGTTCGTATGCTGCTGCTGCGAGGACAAAGATTGAGAAACCATGGAGAAACAACTTTCACCCCAGTTCGGATGCCCAGCCAAATGGGTGCAGCGCTTTAACGCGACCCCCTGCACTGAAAGGCACTGTATAAATGTAAATGGTTTAAAATTGTATGGACAGGGTGTCCAGAAAGTCCTCTTACCCCATTATAAAACAGTAAAATGAGACTATGGAGGAGCTGAAACAAGCTGTCAGAGATGCATTTGGCCAGGTGTCTGATACACTCAGAAATACAGCAAAATGCTTACAAGTCCCTAATGCGAAGCACTGAGAGTCCACATATGTTATGGTTTCCATTTGTCTAGTGTGAAGTGAGTAATACTCTTAACCCCACCTTCCCTTCCCTGGAGAGATGCACCCGGATTGCCAAATCCTGCAGGTTAGCAAGAGACAAGGCTTGGGGACCCAAAACTGTTTGGATATAGCTGATCTTTGACCAGCATACAGCGTGTAAATATTCAACTGACAAGCCTCCTAATGCTTTTTCACATAGCCCATTGGGGCATTGGCTTGCAGGGTTAACAGGAGATGAGTGGGATGACTTCCTGCCCCCAGTGACTGGTCTGCCCTTCCAGGTCCTGTCAATGAGCCAGGCTGACTGTGCTGTCCTCAGCAGAGCCCTGGAATACTGCAGACTCACCTGGCTCAGGAATCGGACAACCATGATAGACTCAATTCCAATATCCCGTTGCTGGACACATCACCTTGGAACCAACTCAGATCCAAAGAGTTGGATATCCCCTAGGAGGATATTCACCGGGGAATAGCGATGTTGTTTCAAACAAAACCACAGCATCAACAGCAGAGAGAGAGAGAGAGCATAAAACACACATTCTTTCCTGGGGAGAGGGGGGACAATAGTCAATTTATGTTTTTCCATTTCAATATATCTAGACACGATATTACTGTACAGAGTTAGAGACGTGTTTTGTAAAAAAAATTCTTATGACAGAATTTGCATGCGTTTAAATTTAAGATCAGTAAAATGTCATTTCCTAAACTATGCTTCCTGGTAATATCATTTGGACAGGAGTCACCGAATTCCACTTTTGTTTTCCTTTGTCCCCCCACAGAAAAAGGGTGGGGAGTGCAATATGCAGCATTTAACAGGGTTCCTTAATAAAGGATCCTGTGGGAATTCCCATCAACTTGCGAGAACTCCGCTTGAGAGGCAGATGGTTAGAGCAGGCGGTGGGGGAAGGGGGGGGAAGAGAGAGAGATACTGGAAACAATTCCCCATTCACCCTGCGAGAACGAGAAACACTCACTTAACTTCCTGAAATATTTCACTTTACCCTGTGTGGCTCGGGGGAAGGGTCTCTCCATCCAATTTATTTCCGCAACAAATGTTAAATAAATATTCCGTCAATGCCACATTCCAGGTAGGATTCAAGAATGTTGGAGAGAGAGAGAGAATATATCTCGCATTGAAAGAGACAGTTTAAAAAAAATGCATTTGATCTCGATGTTTTATTCTCTTAAATACATGCGCACAGCCTCATGCACACGCACACACAAGCATGGACACAGATTTTGCTAAGAAAACTACTCTCCTTGACAACAGTCCAACAGACAGAAAGCTACATGAATTTCACCTCTTTGTTGATGCCATTAATCCTACAGGAACAACTGACCAGAATAACTCCAGATAAGAGGCTACTTTGCTGAGTGTGTGTGTATATATGTGTGGGTGGGGGGCAGTGAAGTTGAGCAGACAAACTACAGACACTGGGAGGGCAGGAGTAAATCTACTGGAATAAAATCTCCCCTGTCTCTGACCACCATCACCAAAAACACAGGCTAACTAAGTAGAAAATTCACTTCATCTTATAAAGACAAGTTGAACTGTAATGTCTTTTACCTCTGTAAGCTGTGCCAGAGCAGAAACTCCCTGGTGCCACTCAGGGGAAGGGGGTTAAAGAGAAAAAGCTCAACCCTCATTGCTACCACAAATCCCTCTGGTGGGTTTGTGTAAATCAGAGAGTAGAGGCCCTGCAAAGCTGGGACAGAACAGATGATATGCGAAGTGGAAGTAATGGCAATTAATCAGAATCTGAAAGACCAGGGTAGAACCTGTTGCCTGGAGCACTTTTTCATCCCATCATTGGTGACTGGAATGGAAGCCATAACCCATCACCTCACCCGCTTAAACCGACCACGTACAACAATCTGGTTTCCATCATTAAATTCTACTCGAGGCTAGCGACATAGTTTCTGTGCAAAGGTCATGTGGAATGATAAGGGACCATCAGTGGAATGAGAATGAACCAGAGCTCGAGAGTAGAGATCGGTCTCTCCCAGAGTCTGCCCACAATCCCCTTCACCACCCCCCACGTTATACTTCCCGTCTCACACGAATGTTGTCGAGTAGCATAGTACTGGAGGACAGGAATAGAGCAGGAGCATTGTGTGAAACGCAGGCTATGACTTGCTGGGCTGCATTGGATGCTAAACCCAATTGCTCTATCTAATGCTATGGTAAAAGATTATTTGACTGGTGGTGGCTATTTCTGTCCACGAGACAAAGTGTGTTTCCAGCACACATATTGGGCAGCGCTATGTTGAATGTTTCAGAGGGGATGGTAGGGAGTGGGGAGTGTAGAGGAACCTGTAAGGGTTGTTGGGTCGTATCGGTACTGCAGATCATTACCACACCGTTTGGGAAGGAACCAGTGTTGGTCTATTTCAAACGATGCCGGCTGTTAAGACACTTCTGTCTAATAGCTTACTTGCGTCAACAAAAACATCAGCTCAAAGAATTGTGTGTGAGAAAAGTTGTGCGCTATACTGCGGTGTGTTCATGTAAAAGACTAGATATTCACAGGTTGAAATACAAGTTAGCTCCTGGAGTGGAGGAGACTGAGCGAGCAGAATTACAGGAGACCCAGATTGTGGGTAATGAGACAGTCACTGATTTTGCAGTTATAGCTATTTATAGGAGACAATTTTTCTCAGCCACACTAACTGTCGAGGGGACAGGAAATGACTTCTTGACCAGATGGGGATTTGTCAATGAAGATAAGAATTTGATGATTTTATCAGTAACGCCAGAGGATACGATTAACACATAAGGTGGAAAACAACTGCAAATACTGGAAACCTGAACTGAAACAGCCTACTGTACAAATGCAAGGGCGGCTGATTGAAGCAAGGTTAATGCGGCGTGTGAGAGCTGGCCTAAGTGAGAACACGTTAACCTGTCACTTTCTGCATCTATTTCCAGCATTCTGCTTTGGCAGGATTAACTGTGGCTTGTTTTTCAGTTAGCGATCCACAGAGTACTGAAATCAGCACAATAAGATCATTTCACGTCACCAAGAACATTATACAACTCAAATTCACTCCTCGCCATTCATTCCCAATGGACCAATTTTTACCCTATTCACTCCCAAAGGACCACAGTTCCATTCACGCCCCATGCACAAACCTTTCCTTGTTTTGCTCTTTGCAAAAACACAATCTCATTCACTCTAAAAGGACCAAACCCAATTTACATTCTAGAGTTCCTAAACACAAGTGTAAAAATCAATCTTTAACATCATCTGATGTTCAGTATCATTAAACAAATGTAATTATAATCAACAGCCTGGCAAAGCTTTTTGGGGACAGAAAGGCATAGAGCATTTCAATGGGGTTGTGTGAAATATATGCTTTGTGAGTCTCAAGCATCGTCTCTGCACAGGTGAATGGACTGGTTACAAAGAGCTGGATTTGCAAATTGGCCATCATTTTAATTTGGAAACCACAGACAAGCCCCAGTCCAAGCAGAGCTCATCTAGGCAATGGGTTGAGGATTGAACGGCATCAATATTAGACACCTCTTGGTCAAAAAGCGGGTGAACCCACGAGATAACGCTCAGTGAAACCCTTAAACTCAAGCAGCCATCTGTCCCCGGGTTTCATTCACAGTGTCTGTTTCTGCAACTCTTGACAAGGGTACAATCCAACAGCATCTGTGCCAACTCATTGTCCAACTTTAACACACAGTCTTGCCAAGCTGCCCTCGCTCAGGATTTCCACTCACATTACTGTGGCTACACCCGAGTGTTAATCATGCTGTGTCTTCTCCTAACAACGTATTGTGGATTTGGGCCGGGGATCGGCAGTGGAAATCAAAAACAACAAAGTACCAGCTGAGGGGAATACAAGTTGCATTCACCTACTCAGGCTCCATTGATACTGCACTGAAAGACCTCGATACATACGAGCTGGGTTGGGGGGGAATATGTATCAGGGAATGTTACAACCTCAACCTCTTCACAGAACGAGACTGACCCTCACCTTAACCTTTTCCAATGAAGAAGGGAAACCGCTAAGAACGGAAGCTATCTCTGAGCTCCAGTAACACATGCTTATTTAGCCTCTGACTTAAGACAGATGCACGTTTTGTTAACATGCATCAACATGTACACAGTAAAGAATATATCCATCCCAACAACAATAATAATAACCTTACATATGATCCCATCTCCATTCTATAAAATATATGGGTTAGTGCTTTTGAGTAATGCATTTTGTGAAACAACATGAGATGCACAAGGCTTTCTCCCCCTCCCTCCCTACTGCAGACTTGTCTGAAACAGGAATCATGCAGGCAATATCTGACCACGAGACCACCACAGCAACAGAAACATCCGTGTACATTGCGCTTCAAACTCTCCGCCGAGACGTCACAAAGCAAAGTGAAAAGAAGTCAATGAGAGCTACAATTTGTGTAGACAGACTGTGAGTGGCCAGAGCCCAAGTCCATGCTCAGGAGCGCTCGGGTGTTGTGAATGTCACTCGATCTGAAAAGGAGTTGCTTTGAGGGATCATTGCGATGTCACAGTTCTCAACTTTTTCAAGAACACAGCAAAATATCTGCAACAATCTCAAAAACAAGGTGTGCTTATACAGCTTTGCATACTCTGTCTCTCTCTCTCTCTCTCTCCTGCTTTCTTTCTTTTTTCCTCTCCTCCCTCCCCCTCCATTACTGGTCGTGCCTAGTACTGGACGATGGAAGCAAGAGTTTCTACCGCTAAATATCAGTGCACACGAAACTGATGGGTTGAACGTTTAGGATGTACATTAGCTCAATAGGTCAAAATGTCCCTCACATCTGACCCATGTTCCTGCCATCAGCAACACACACAGGAACAGCAGCAATTGCACCTTATGGTTATAGGCGACAGTACCACAGATTAGTAATTGCAGTGGTCTGTTATAGACTCCGCATTGTGCCATGGTTCCCTGCTCCTAAACTTTGCAGAGTCTGTCTTGTCCTCTGTTCTTCTCCGTCTCTACTGCTGGTGCACCTCGTTCTCAATGAGACTGTCTTCGTAGGATTGGTACTCGCCTTCGGTTACGCCTTCCCGTGGCTCCTCTTGCGACGCTCTGTCCTCTTCTCCGATGGGCTCAGACTGAGGGTCCTGCAGCACCTGAGCCACGTACATCTGCCGAAGGATAAATTTGGCATTGGTTAAGATTTCTACTCAGCGCATCAGCTCAATCTGGAATCCCATAGCGTAGTGGTTAGTGCGCACGCCTCGCAAGCGAGAGGTCTGGGGTTCGATTCCCAGGTGGGACTAAATCTTAGGCAGGTTTCCTTACTCCACACGCCTGTTTACTAGCAGTAAGTAGGAACCCGGTCTTTAGTCGAGTGGCATATAGCTTACCGGGGGCAATAATCCCTCAAAAAAACACATTTGGTCACTCACTCCATGACTGTTTGTGGGGCATTGCTGTGCTCAATTAGTTGCTGTGTTTCGCCCACAAAATAGTCAACCCTTACAAATACACACTTTACGGTATGCTCTGAAGTGCTGTGAGATGTCTCAACAATGTGATAAGGTGCTGTATCAAATGCAAGGATTATCATTGTTATTAATATCTGACCAGTCACCAGTGGAGGCACGCTACAAAAATGACAGCAACCAGTCGTGAGTGGAAATGGCCTCACCGTGGCGGTAGGTGGAGAAGACGTGCTGTCACGTTGACCATTGGATTCTACACCACCATCTACTTCGCTGCGGTCGATCTGAAAACAAGAACGACAGGATAGGAATGTCCTTACAGCACGTGAATAAGCCGCTCAAAATAAACTCTGAAAGATCTCAGCAAGAGAAACGAGGAGTGAGGAAAGAATCACTGGAAGATTACAAGAAATTCTGAGAAAAGAGCAGTGGGACTAGGGTTAGAGCAGAATTCCATTGGCTGAATAGCCTCCTCCCGTGTCACTATGGAAACACTGATCAAGTCAACCCTCGCCACAAATTGTGCAGTCTGTCCGTCCCGCCATACGACTCTACCCAATAATTTAATCTTCAGAGCAAGGTCCTGCACGGTGAGCAACAATCAGCACCTTGGGACATCCTCCTGATGTGAAAGGCACTCTACAAATGTAATTTTGTTGTTGTTACAATATCGCATACTCCTGTTCAACACATCAGGGTCTTACCTGGTAAACATGGTGCTTTGGACTAAGACAGCTGAATGGTGCAATGAGAGAGAGTGGAGAAAATAAATTCTGTAATAACACACTTGGGAAGCAAGGGTGTTAGCTGGTATGGGGTAAAGGGCAGGCATGACGATTGAGAGAATCCAAAATAAGGGGACATAAAACCAGGGCTACACCGGGTGCATGAGAAAACAATTTCTCCACAACCTCAGTAAGGTGTGAAGACACAATTGATTGGGATGCTCAAAAGAGAGACTTGGGAACTAAGGATATTATGGAGGATGGTAAAAAGGTAGAGAAATGGCATTAAATGCTGTGATGTAATCTAATACCCCCCCATCACCAACTCTCACTCTAACAGCAAAAAAATTTACATTTATTTAGCACATTCATGTCATGAGGATGTCCCAAGACCAATGGTTAGAGGTGACTGGTGCTGGAAGGAAGCCAAGTACATAAATATAGCAGATTTTGGATCTTGGTCCTTAAAAGCAACCGACAAAAGCAACAAACTGATCGTAGAATAAGAAATAATGCAAGAGCTGTTCACAAAGATCTCCACTCGTCAAGGTAAACAGCGCTCTCAGCATTTGTGATTGGTCAAATCTGCCGTCAATCAAACATAAAGCCACAAGCAGAATGTGCACACACGCTGATTTGTGTGTTCGAGTGTGTGTGCTCGCTCATGTAAGTAGTGTGCGTGATTATGTGTCTGTGTGCACATCTGTGGTGTGCGTGCATGGATGTTTGTGTGAGCAATAGTGTGTGTGTGCGTGCATGAGGTGGTGTGCGGTGTGTGTGTGTGCACGCACGCAGTGGCTTGTGTCAGTGTGTGTGGCTGAGATTGTGCGCTGTGTGTGATTGTGTGTAAGGGGAAGGGTTACCAAAGTCATGTAACTGAATTCTTCGTCTGAATTTTCTGAAGTCAGACCCTGCGGAAAATCGAAAAGGGAAAGTTTTTTTGAAGTGCTGGAAAATACATGGACAGCAGAGGACAGCGCTCCGGGGTCTGGGTTCTCGGAGAACCCCTTCACCTTCCCGACTGACTCACTGGATTAGCCATTGCTTCAGGTCTTTGCAATACTTCCTGTTCTCCAGGGGAATGGGGGTGAGAATCCAAATGGAAGGGAGAGAGGGAAACCGTTCAGCACCTTTTGTGGGTGCCTTGACACATGCAGAAACCCATCACTATGCTTAAGAGTATCCAAACCAAACTGAGAATTCCATGCATCACAACTATGCATGGAAATCCCAGTGATAAGATTGTTGGAATGGACTGTGCAGTCTCCTTGGAAGGACATATGCTGTTTACTTAATCCCAGAAAGTATTAGGCACAGGTTGGCAAAAACCAAGGCTTGGGGATTGTGCAGAGTGCGTTGGGGTAACTGCTGGAGTCTAAGTAGCTAAAATCACATAGCTTGATAGCACTGTCTGGCCAGCTTTCCCACTCTTGTCCAGCTAGGATCACCCAACCCGTTAGGACTTTGGCTTGCAGAGTTAACAGGAGCCAAGTGGGAGGATTCCCTGTCCCAGTCAGTTGTCTGCCCCTTCAAGTCCTGCCGATGAGCCTGTCATCAGCAGTGCCCTGGAGTACTGCAGACCCGCCTGGCTCAGGCTCGGGCTCGAGGTTGACATCCTGTTGCCAAGCACGTCACCTTGGAGTCAGCACAGAGACTGAGAATACTCTGTAGCACGACAGTGTGGAGCAGAAACTGAGAAGGTTATTGGGAAGAACAGCCACTAACCCTGCAATGAGGGATAATGACCATGGGTGCCTGTGGCCACGTACCTTGTAGTTGTGAGCACTGAGGTATTTGAAGTGGCCGAAGCAGACGTGGGAGAGGCAGATAACGATGGTGATGACCAGCACAACAAAAGTAAACATGGACGTCGGTGCCAAGAATTCTGCAAACACAAAAGCCAGACTATAGCAGGGAAAGAATGAGCATTGTTACAGCGCTGGATCTAGTGAAGACCCACAGCGTCGTGGTTAGCGAGCTCGCCTCGGATGCTAGAGAACCTGGGTTCGATTCACGGACATGGCATAACCTTAGGGCAACATGATGCACGCTTTCATAATATCCCGACTTGACTAAGCCTGCTCACTGGACTTCCCAACTCTTCGCTCCACAAGCTGCAAATTATTCAGAACTCTGCAGACGTGTCCTCTCCTGCACCAGACTCCGTGAACCTATTACCCCCATTCTTGCCCAGCTTCACTAGCTCCCCATTCCTCAGAGAATCGAGTACAAAATCCTCATCCTTTCTTTCAAGGCCCTTCACAGTCTCGCTCCCCCCACCTCTCCAACCTCATAACCCCATATCAGCCTGTCCGCTCCCTCCGCTCAGCGGACACCAGCCTACTTCAGGTCCCCTGCACTCCCCCCCCCACCCCACCATTGGCGATCGGGCATTCAGCATCTCTGCCCCCGCACTCTGGTACTCTACCCCACAATCCCTCCACCTCACCCCTCTCTCATCTCCTTCAAGTCCAGTATGAAGACCTTCCTCTTCGACCATGACTTTGGGCACTCTCCCACCCCAACCCTCCTGCTCTCCTCCCCTTCTGACCCCAACTCCCAGCTCGGGTCCAAAACCCAATTGTACAGCACCCTAGGACATCTTTCCGATGTGAAGGGCGCTGTACAAGTGTATTTTGCTGCTGTTAGGCAAGCTTCCGTATTCCACATGCCTCTGTTTACTTATCAGTAAGTAGGAACCCTATTGCTAGTCGAATGGTGGATCACTTTCCGAAGGCAATAATACCCTCCCGCCAAAAAAATTTTGGTCATTCAATCCACAACTGTTTATGGCTACAAAATATAGTTACTACACTTTACAATATATTCTGTGAATCACTTTGATGTCTCAACAATGTGATAAGTCGCTATATTGAATGCAAGTTATGGCGGTGGTAACATCATGACCAGAGAACACGCAAATTCGTTTGAATGGAGACTGATGTCTATTAGAATATTGCCTTTGTTGTTGTTTGCATAGTATTGTTTTGGTCATTTATACCCCACAAGTAGCAGGAACTGTTAAAGGATGTTACTGTATGAAGAGGGCTTGATTTCGCTGAAAACTCATTGTCTGTAAGAATGTGCATTGTGTGAGCGTGAGAGTAAACTCACGAGGCGATAAAACACTAGGTGTTTGAGCCGGCAGCAGAGTTGCACTTTGGAGTACTTCTAACAAGGCATCGGTCAGTTTGCACCCCTGCCCAAACTGTGAGTGCCAGCATTTTATATATTACGACTCCGAGTTAAATTTAGGCTTTGAGGTGTTGTCAAATTATATGCTTGTATCCATTAAATATTTTTAAATTATTTTGAGAAGTGTGTATTTTAAATTTATTAATATAAGCAAGATACTGGTTTTGTCCTCACGACTCGAGAAGCCGTGACTCTAATCACTGAAGCATTGGGTATAAAATACCAAGCTCCGTGACAAACGATTATTATTATTTATAAAACCTAGGATTCTAATAGCTTTTGTCCTCACAGCTTTGTCACCTTGCACTTTTAATCTTTGCATTTGATATAGCGCTTTACTACATCATTGAGATGTCTCAAAACACTTCACAGGACATTCTATAAAGAGAAGTGACTTTATTTTGACAAAACAAACAGCCAATTCACACAGAGCAATGTCCCACAAACAGCCATGAAGTAAGCGACCAATTTTATCTGGGGGATTGTTGGCCAGGATACCGCGAGAGAGAAGCTCCCTTCGCTTTTCAAACAGTGTTACAGCACCTAGAGAAATGTAATTTTATTGTTGTTAGACATCCACAAGAACAAGCATAGACAGGGCGTCGATTTAATATCTCATCCAAAGTATGACACCTCCAACAATTCAGTGTACCCTTGGAATGCATTAGTGTCAGCCTAAACTACATGACCTTCAAAGACCTAACAATTGAACCCACAATTTTTAAAACGTTCAAAGATATATTAGATAATTCCCAGCGAACGCATATTCCCTTGAGAAATAAAAATTCCAGAGGAAAAGTGGTTCAACCATGGCTAACTACAGAAGTTAAGCAAAGTATAAAATTAAAAGAAGAAGCCTATAATATTGCCAAAACGAGCTGTAAACCTGAGGATTGGGAAGACTTTAGAGATCAGCAAAGCATAACCAAGAAACTAATTAAGAGGGAGAAAATGGAATATGAGAGTAAACTAGCTAGAGATATAAAGACAGATTGTAAGAGTTTTGCAAGTAAATAAAGAGGAAGAGATTAACAAAAGTAAATGTGGGTCCCTTATAGGCAGAGATAGGAGAAATTATAATGGGGAATAAAGAAATGGTCGAGTCACTAAACAAATACCTTGCTTCTGTCTTCACGTTGGAAGATACTAAAAACTTACGAAAAACAGTGGGGAACCAAGAGACTAATGTTAGTGAGGAGCTTAAAGAAATTAATATCATAAAGTAATAGTACTAGAGAAATTGATGGGACTAAAAACTGGTAAATCCCCTGGACCTGATGTCCTGCATCCTAGGGGTTTAAAAGAGGTGGCTGCAGAGATAGCGGATGCATTGTTTCTGATCTTCCAAAATTCCCTGTATTCTGGAACATTTCCTGTTAATTGGAAGTTCGCAAACATAATGTCGCTATTTAAGAACGGTGGGAGAGAAAAAAATGGGGAACTATAGACCAATTAGCCTGACATTAGTAGTAGGGAAAATTCTGGAGTCTATAATTAGGAATGTCGTCATGGTGCACTTAGTAAGTCATAATATGATTAGGCAGAGTCAACATGTTTTTATGAAAGGGAAATCGTGTTTAACAAATCTTTTAGAATTTTCTGAAGATGTAACTAGCAGGTTAGGATAGAAGGGAACCAGTGGATATAGTGTATTTAAATTTTCAGAAGGCATTCGACAAAGCGCCACATAAAAGGTTGTTACATAAGATTAGGGCTCACGGAATTAGGGGTAATATATCAGCATGGATCAAAGAGTGGTTAACAGACAGAAAACAGAGAGTAGGGATAAACGGATCCTGCTCAGATTGGCAAAATGTGACTAGTGGAGTGTCGCAAGGATCAGTGCTTGGATCTCAACTGTTCACAGTCTACATTAATGACTTAAGATGAGAAAATAGAGCTTAATGTATCTAAATTCGTGGATGATGTAAAACTCGGTGGGAAAGCTGTGAGGAGGACACAAGGATGATGCAAAGGGATATAGACAGGTTAAGTGAGGGGGCAAGACGGTGGCAGATAGAGTATAATGTGGGGAAGTGTGAAGTTATTCACCTAGGTAGAAAAAATAGAAAAGCAGATTATTTTCTAGAGGGGGAAGAAGACTAGATAGTACAGTATTCAGAGGGATTTAGGTGTCCTTGTACACCAATCACAGAAAGTTAGTATGCAGGTACAGCAAGTAATTAGGAAGGCTAATAGCATGTTCATGTTTATTGCAAAGGGGTTAGAGTACAAGAGTAGGGAAGTCTTGCTGCAATTCTGTCAGTCTTGGTGAGACTGCACCTGGAATATTTTGTGCAGTTTTGGTCTCCTTATCTAAGAAAGGATATACTCGCCTTAGAGGGGGTGCAACGGTCCGCTAAGTTGGTTCCTGGGATAAGGGGGTAGACCTACGAGAAGAGATTGAGTAGACTAGCCTATATTCTCTAGAAATAGAAACCTATAAGATTCTTAAGGGTCTTGACAGAGTAGATAGTGTGAAACTGTTTCCCCTGGTTGGAGAATCTAAAACTAGGGGTCATAGTCTCAGGATTATAGGTCAGCCCTTCAGAACTGAGTTGAGAAAACATTTCTTCATTCAGAGGGTAGTGAATTGATGGAATTCTCTACCCTAGAACATATTCAAGACTGAGATCGATAGATTTTTAAAAACTAAAGGGATTAAGGGACATTGGGATAGGGCGGGTAAATGGAATTAGATTAGAAGATCAGCCATGATCTTATTAAATGGAGGGGCAGGCTCGAGGGACCGAATGGCCTACTCATGCTCCTATTTCTTATGTTCTTATGTTCTAACCTTCTGACTCAGAGGCAAGTGTGGTACTTAGTAAGCCATGCTGGCACCTTTAAAGTGTATATTAAACCGGGTTTGTCTAGTTTAATGTACATTCTCTCTCATTTTTCCTCACAAAATGATCCCTTAATATTTTTCTACATTAAATGTAATCTGACACCTAGTTGCCTTATCTTGTGTATTACCTGGAGGCTTACTGATCAGAATACCGGGAGAAACTCACTTCACTTTCCTAAGTGTCGCAAGATCTTTAACTTTAGTGTCATCTGAGGAGGAACACCTTGGACAACGTGGTACTGAGGGCAGCGTGTGTTGACCGCGGTGCTGTCCTTTGGACAGGACATGAAGTCCTGTCAGCCTAGAGACTGAGCGCTCAAACACCATTGTCAAGTTGATGGGGGGGCAAATTCAAAACTAATCTGCGGAAATACTACTTCAGTCAGCAAGTGGTAAATCTATGGAACAAACTTCTTAGGGAGACAGTGGAAGCAGAAAGCGTTGATTCCTTCAAATGCAAATTAGATTATTTCTTTTATAAAATAGTATCTTGCGATACAGATTATGAGAAATTTGAGACATGACATATGGTAAGTGTAGTATACTTGGAAGAACCCAGTAAATTTGTATCTAAGGTTCCCAAAGTTTCCCACTATATTGTAGACTAATCCATACAGAATTAATTGCTATCAACATCTCCATTATTATAGCAGGTGACTACCAGGATGGTAGGAGGCAAACTAGACTTTTTTCCTCCAGCAATTCCTATAGCTATGATGCATCTAGCAATTCCTATGAAGAGCCTCACCAAGTTGATGACTTAAAAAAAACTTACTTGTTCTTACTGTAGAGAAGAAAAGCAGCCAGAAGAGGCAGAGAATGGGAGCTGCCACAACCTGGTTCACTGCTCCTGAATGGATCTTCTTGTCCAGCTTGGCGGGTAGGTAGGCGTAGTACAGGTTGTACCGATCAACCAAATGCTTCAGCAGCATGTGCATCAAGCCTGCAGGTAAAAAAACACAAAGGATGCGTTTAACAAGAGCTCTCACACCAGGCATCCGTGCCCATTGGACTGGAGAAATGTCACAGTCAGGCTCAGTGTTTCCTGAAGTGAGTGACCAATTTTATTTGGGGGATTGTTGGCCAGGACACCAGGAGAGAGAAACTTCCTTCTCTTTTCCAATAGCACTACAGGATCTTTAACGTCCACCTGGTCAGGCAGACAGGCACTTGGTTTAACATCACATCCAAAGAACGATATCAACAATGGACGATACCAGCAATGGAGCGTTAGTTTAGACTATATGAGTTCCAAGCATTCATTACGGGCTTGAAGCCACATCCAGTACTCCACATGTACTGCAGTGAAGTGTCAGCCAGGACAGTGAGTTTAAAGGCCTGAAGTGGAGCCTGAACCCACAACACAAGTTGCCTTGGAGGACAAGAGCGTTTCAGACTGAGCCAAGCAGTCAGAGCTCATTCTTCCTGCTTGGAATCAATCTGCTCACTCTTTCCTGTGTAAATGAAAAGGCAATGCAATCTTTAATTATCGACAAGTCCATTCAAAGCCAGAGTGTTGTTGGTTAAGAGTGGCTCTTGGTTAATGAAAAAAAAGAGGCAGGAGCCATCTTGTCACTGTATATGAGCACAACAGAAGCACTAATGAGATGTTATGTGAAATAGGGCAGCACTCTATCTAATGGTTTGCACAAGATTGTGTAACAGCTGGAATAAAAACAGTGACAAGTCTCCAATCATCTGAGTGGGAGAGCAGCACTAAGTTAATTACTTGCCCTTTATGGGCAGGTTCCTTCCATTGCCTCAGCCTTTGACGTACCAAAGACGTAAACAAGGGAACAATTTAAGTGCTCTCTTCAACCCCCACCTTCCCTGATGATTCAGCAACGTTATCCAGCTGAATTATAGTTATGGAAGCTGTTGGTTTCATCTGCCGTCTGTGCTGAGTTCGCTAATTCACAGCTGGGACACAACAAGGGGAGAAAATTCAGTATCAGCCAGGGTTTCCCAGATTGCTATCCTGCAAACTCATCCCATCTGTATCCCATTGCACTCAGTACATATTAGCAGCAACATCTTGCATTTATAGAACACCCTTTACGTGGGGTAGTATCCCTGAGTGATTAAATTAATATTAATAATCTTTGCATTTGATATAGTATTGCGTCGTATCACATCGTTGAGACATCTCAAAGCGCTTCATAGGATATACTGTAAAGTGGACTGACTGTATTTGTAGCCGAAACGCAGCAGCTAATTGCGCACAGCAGTGTCCCACAAGCAGTTGTAGTTTGCGAGTGTCCATTTTTGGGGGGAATGGGGAAAGTGATCCGCCAATCGACTAATAACCAGGTTCCTACTTACTACTAGGTAAAAGGACACGTGTGGGTTAGGAAGCTTGCCTAAGGTTTCGCCCTGCCCAGGAATCGAACCCGGGTCCTCTTGCTTGCGAGAGAAGTACTCTAACCAATACACTACAGGACTCAACAATTGCGACTATTGTGACTCCATATTATTGAGATAATTCAATTGACAACCAAACTACAGTCTGATCCCTATCATATTGTATGTTTGGATATAATACAAGAAAGGGGCCAGTCAGTCAGGTTTGTGGTAGACTGAGGCATGGTGCAGGAAGCCAGCCAGGCAGCACACAATATGCAGTGGGGCTGGGTGATGTTACTGGCATCCCCTCATATGCTGGTGAGCATTGCACTATAACCCAGGCTCTGCTTTCAAGGACCCCAACCACTGCATTTAATGGAGCTTGATTGGATACAACACACTTCTCTGCCTTTTGGCTAACATCAAGTGTAATATCTGTGTTACTCCTTGAGCTAGCAAATGCCAGAATGTTGAGATTCAACTGTGATACGTAGAACACAACAAAATCTCATACATAACCAGGACATTATGGGAAGGATTGAATGCCTGGCAACAGCTATGCCTTTGTCACTCTGCTGGCTGGGCTTCGCTCATCAGTAAAACAAAATCAATGCTTTTTTAACATCTCAAGAGTTTCATTGATCAGTCACATGGACTCAGCAACCATGAGTGACTTGGAGAGAGCAGGAAAAACCTTCAGTAACAACAGGGTATAAATTTAAGGATAATCACAAAAGGAATTAAAGGGGAGGTTAGAAACCACAACTTGCATTTATATAGCACCCTTCATGGGTCTCAAAGCACTGAGTGTATTGTAAAGTGCAACAACTTGGCTCAGTGATCGCACTCTTGCCTCAAGGTCAGAAGGCTGTGGCTTCAAGTCCCAAGTTGTGACATGGAATCACATAGGCTAAGCTGACACTCCAATGCAGTGCTGGGGTTGTTGCATTGTTGGAGATGCCGTCCTTCAGATGCGACGTTACAACGAGATCCCAGCTCCCTATTCTGGTGGACGTTAAAGATTCCAAGCACTACTCAAAAAGAGAAGGGAGTTTCTCTCTCCTGGTGTCCCGGCCAACCATCCCCCAAATAATCAAACAGTCAAACCACTCTACAGTGTATTCTGTGAAGCGCATTGAGACGTCTCAATGACCTGATAAGGCATTATACCAAATGTGAGTATTATTATTATTACTTGTTTTGTGGACCAACTCGATTAGATAATTTGCAGACGTTATGTGTACTTACCGAACGGCACGATGATAGGACACGTGATGCTGTAGGTCATGACCACAGTGAAGACGGACATCATCCACCCGTAGGCTGCTCCAAACTGAAACTCATAGGCTTGGTGCTAATGAATGCAATAAATAAACATACAGAGGTCAGAGACAGCAGACACAGGAGATAAATGTTTGCTTAAAATTAGCTGGACACTGTGGCCTGAGGGAGGCAGGCATACTGACTAACGTCAGGAGAGGTGGCTATTAATTAACTGATAGGGAAGCAGTTGTTGGTCGTGGTGGTGGGGGCTCCAGGCATTTAATTTGTGCGCTATTTAATTGATGTGCCATTGGCTGGGCGAGCAGCTCCTCCAGGGGTGAACTATGTGCTGAGAGAGCAGTTGATTTAATCCAGTCGTCAGCAGCTGACCTGGACAAGGGGCTGCGGAATACAATAATAATTATCCTTGTATTTGATATAGCACCTTATCATGTCTTCGAGACGTCTTAAAGCGCTTCACAGAATATATTGTAAATTGGATTGACTGTGTATTTTGTGGGCAAAATGTGGCAGCCAACTGTGCACAGCATTGTCCCACAAACAGTCATGGATTGAGTGACCAAATTATTCTTGTTTTTTTTTGGAACGGATTATTACCCCCAGAAAAGCGATCCACCAATCGACAAGCAACCGGATTCCTACTTGCTGCCAGGTAAACAGAGACATGTGGAATAAGGAAACGTAGCTAACGCTTCGCTCTGCCTGGGAATCAAACCCAGTCCTCTCACTTGCGAGGAGAGTGCTCTGACCAATGTGCTACAGGTTTCACACGGAATGTCTAACAATTCTTTGCATACGTTTTCTTTTTTTAAAAAAAAAAGGATTTTTGGATCATATTGATACCCGAAGGAGAACAAATATTACATTTACATTACAAAATTATACACAGCACTTTTCACGTCAGGAGGATGTTCTGGGAAGGTGCTGCACAGTCAAGGAATTGGACCCGAGCTAGGGGGTGGGATCAGGAAGGGTGGAGTGCGCAGGGGATAGGGATAAGAGGGTGACCGAAGACACAGTTGAAGAGTAGGGTCTTGAGTCGGGCCTTAAAGGAGACAAGCAAGGGGGTGAGAGGAAGGGACCAGGGGATGGAGTTGCAAAGGGTGGAGGCAGAAACGCTGAAGACCCGACTGCTGTTGGTGGGACGGACAGGGGACATGGAGCAATTGGAAGCCCACTGAGTAGAGAGAGTGGAAAGGTTCGGTATGGAGTTACTAGGTCACAGAGGTAGGAAGAACTGTGCAAGTCTATAGACTCCAAAGCGGCTTTCCTTTCTCACACTCTCTCACCATCTTTCTCTTCTGCTGCCTTGCCTTCTACCTGTTTATCAACATGAGATCTTGTGGGCTGGATAGTTGGCAGGGAATAGTGGGGGGAAGGGAAGAGAGAAACTTACAAAAATTAAGAAGCCAAACTAATAGTCCAGGTCAGGCTAAGTGCCATTCTGCAGACACCTTGAACATGTTAAGTTGCTTCAGTTGTAACACACCATAATAATAATAATAATAATCCTTGCATTTGATATAGCGCTTTTCACGTCAGGAGGACGTCCCAAAGCGCTTCACAGAACACACTGTAAAGTGAATTGACTGTATATTTGTGGGCGAACGTGGCAGCCAATTGCGCACAGCAATGTCCCACAAACAGTCGTAGATTGAAAATGACCAATTTAATTATTGTTTTTGGTTTTTTGGAGGGATTATTATTAGGCGTGTGGATTAAGGAAACTTGCCCAAGGTTTCGCCCTGCCTGGAATTGAACTCAGGTCTCTCACTTGCAAAGCGAGTGCTCTAACCACTGAGCTACAGGACTCCACCATCTGGCAGATCCAAATCTTGAAGTTAATCCTGTCATCTCAGCGGCCAGTCATTAGGTGGTCAGAGCTCCCTGCTGAAATTGTGTTACCGCAGTTACCTGTTTCTCCAGCTTTTCCTTCTCTGTCAGCTGCTCGACTCCCAAGCATCTATTTAGGCTCACCTCATTGGCTGTCTTATCTTTTCCTTCATTTACTCTCATCTGTCTCTCTCTGTCTCTCTATCGCAATCTGTTGCACTTTCTTTCTGGCCTCTCTTTCTTCCTAAAGAATTATAAGTGATAAACAGCATGAGACGCGGTGGCTCAAAGGTTGCTGAAGAGAGGGAATGTGGGCCTCACACACAGGACTGAGGACCTGGCATCAGAAACAACATACACAAGGCATTGTAATACTCCTATAATCCGTACAGCACCTACAACACTCAACTACCATTGTAACCTCCAGCGAGGGAGATTGCCTGGCATCCTGAGAAACAAAGTGGCCTCTTTCCCCCTCCCCAGGCTCACAGCTGCAGTGATCCCTGTGGTGAAGACAGGGTGTAAGGAGCAATTGGCTGGGACGCTTATCGTGATCCAATAATAATCCTTGCATTTGATATATTGCGTTATCATGCTGTTGAGATGTCTCGTGGCGCTTCACAGGATACACTGTAAAGTGTAGTAACTGTGTAGTTTGTGGCAAAACGCAGCCTCCAGTTTATGCACAGCAATATGCCCACAAACAGCCATGGAGTGAGTGACCAATTTTATTGGGGGGGGGACTGTTGGCTAGTACACCGGAAGAGAGAAGCTCTCTTTTCTTGTTGAAAAGTACCATAGGATCTTTAAAATTCATCTGAACAGGCAGACGTGATCTTGGTTTAACATGACATCCGAAGGACAGCACCTCCAACAATGCAATAACACCCTCCTCCCACATCCCCAGTTTGGAGTGTCAGCTCAGACTAAATGATTTGAAGTCCCGACTGGGGCCTGAACCCACAAGCTTCTAATTCAGAGGCGAGAGTGCTACCACTGTGCCAGGCTGGCACATACTGTCGAGGCTCCATAACACGTGAGAGATCACCTGTGGAAGTGTACCCCATTGTAAGGGAAGAATTCAGATGTCATGAGGATAGGGGAGGAATCAGGGAAGGAAAAAGCCCTGCCCCCACCCCCCCCCCCTCGCCCCACCCCCCATTCCCTGCCCCACACACACAGAATTCCACTTCCGAGCGACAAGAGAGGAAAGAACGAGACGTACACGTTTGACGTTCTTGCGTTCGGCTGCTGATCTGGCCAAGGACAGGCGGATCATGTACATGAGCAGACCTGGGATGCGGAGCAGATCCATCGCATTTCCAATGAAGGCGGAGGCGATCACGTAGTTCACAAAGAAAGCCCCGTTGTCGGGGAGAAAAACGCACCTAGACACAACAACAACATAATACATTTATACAGGAGTTTTCACATCGGGAAGATGTCCCAAAGCTCTGGACAGTCAAGACTTTGTACCTGAGCTGGGGGTTGGTTTCAGGAGTGGTGGAGGGCAGAGGGGTTAGGGGTAAGGGGGTGACCAAAGGTGCAGTCAGAGGCGGGTCTCGAGACAGACACTGAAGGAGGTAAGGGAGGGGGCAAGATGGAGGGACTGTAGGATGGAGTTCCAAAGGTGGGGACAGAGAGGCTGAAGGTCCAACCGCGGATGGAGGGGCGGCCAGGGATGGGGACATGGAGCAGGCTGGAATCTGTTGAGTGGAAGTCGATACGGAGTAAGTAGGTCAGAGAGAGAAATAGGAACAAAAATGGACTTTGAAACCAAGGACCAGGATTTTGAACACAATCACTTGGGGGATGGGGAATTGGTGGAGCCGGGCGAGGGTGGGGCCGATAGGATCACGGAGCCTGGTGCAGGACACCATACAGCAAGTGGTCACAAGCAGTCAGTACGGAAGCAGTGGTACAGAAGCCAAGCCCTCACATGGGCAGGTCCTCTTCCCCGCCCGCGGCATCGAGGACTAAAGCAAAATCTTATGCTTGCAGTTTGATGGTGAGGGGCAAGTTCACTTTCTCTTCTCCCCCCACCCCCCAACACATTTTACAAGGAGAAAGCCAAAACAAACTCGCTTGTTAACTTTCAGCAGGCTTGCATGTCACAGACAGGGCCTGGTGTTAAACACAGCCATCCTCAAATTTAAGCGGGCCACAAAGGCCACATTTTCAACCTTGCAATCATTCGGATGCCTACAGCTGTGTGGTCACCAGAGGGCACACAAGGCAATACAGTAAACTGCCGTGAAGATCATCACTAATGTTTGGGTACCAGTAGGGACCTATCCTCTCATCACCAAATGCTTACATACAGGTACCTCCAGCCTCCCCGTCCGTGGGGGGCAGTGCAGGGCGTAGGGGAAAAGCTGCTCAAGTGCTGTAAGTAGGCCCAATACTCACTCAAAGCGTACAGCGCCTTCCTCCAGAAACTTCTTGTCAAACAACCAACGAAAGAAGAGGTCGAGACTAGAACAGAAACAAGCAGAGTTTTACACCCTTGTCAGACATGAACAGTGTACGGTTCTGGTCAGATCACACCCAGGGCATACATAGCGAAGAGTTGGTCACTGTATAAGGTGGCTGCCCCAGGCCTCGAAGCACTGCAGAAGGGATCAATGAGGATTATTCCCTGTGTTAAGAGGCCTGCGCCTTTAGGAACAAAGCCTTGAAGAGAGACGTCTCAGAGGGCACCTTAGAGAGAGAAATAGGTGGTAATATGTAGAACAATGTTTCTAAGGCAGCAGGACAAGAAGACATAGGTTTGGGGTTATAAAGAATAATTTCAGGACAAACACACGGAAGCATTTCTTTATTCGTCATCGAGACATCTCAGAGCATTTCACAGGATATATTGTAAAGGGAATTGACTGTATTTTGTGGGTGAAACGCAGCAGCCAATTACGCACAGCAGTGTCCCACAAACAGTCGTAGATTGAGTGATCAAATTATACATTTTTTTGGAAGGAATTATTACTCCTGAAAAGCGATTTGCCAATTGACTCACCAGTGAGTTACTGCTACGTAAACAGAGGGGTGTGGTGTAAGGAAACTTGCCAAGGTTTCACCCCGCCCGGAAATCAAACCAGGGTCCCTCGCTTGCAAAACGATGATGCTACAGGACTACGCTACAGGACTCCACAAACTTCTTGTTCTGCCCAAAGTTACTGGCCTGACTTCAGACGGGCACAATCAATCCCTCCATCCTCTCAGGGTTTAGCAGATCCTCAACCTCATGAAACTACACCTTTCATGTTAAACATTAAGCCATTCACCTGCTGAGTCCCAGTGATGGCAGGATTAGAACCATAAATATAAGGAATGTGTAGCACTTGTGCATCGTGGTTCTGTTTTCCCCTGATCTGTAAGAGACAAATAACATCAGTCAAAATTTGCATGTGATTAAATGACTACTGAAAAACATACAATCCACTATTTGAGTTTCAATCCCATCTTATTTCTCTCCCCTCCCACCCCAATCAGGAGGGTGGCACATATCACAAGAGTTAAAGTTGCAGATCTCTGTATTATTCTGTATATAAATTGTCTAATTCCTGCTTACATTCCAATTCCAGCCTATGATCACTCTCTAGGTCTGTTCTATATTGTAATCAGAACGCTATGTGTATGAACGCGATGTGTTTTATCGATCTGTCCACTCCCTCCGCTCAGTGGGCTCTGGCCTGCTCCAAGTCCCCCACTCTGTTTGGCTATCATAGTCAGGCCTCCAGCCTTTCCAACTCAACCCTTTGGAATTCCATCCCAGTTTCTTGCCTCGCCCCCTCCCTTGCCTCTATCAAGGCCCAACTCAAGATCCTCTTCCTCGACCATGCTTTGGGTCACCTTCCTCCCCTACCCTCCACCCCTCCTAATCCCAACCCCAAGCTCAGATGCAAATCTTTGACTCTCCAGCGCTTTGGGAGGTCCTCCTGACATGAACAGCGCAATACAAATGTAATTTGTTGTTGTTTTAGAAATTACATCTTGTTGTAAGCTCCTGATGTTTGGACTTTAACATTTGAAAAAACAATGTAGTTGGTTACAGCACAGAGAGACCCTCAAGTTTCTTTATCTGCTGTTTGCTGATCCCTTGCTTTGAGTATTTTGCTATCCAAGGCAGGATTGTGAGTCAGTTGGAGAAGCGTTGACATTTCAGGACATTGTGAACCCCTGCATTTCCGCCTCTCAAAGCCTGAGATCGGCTCGGCTTACAGACAACTATGCCAAGGAGGCAGAGTGAAGCCTGCATCAATGGTGACTAAGCTATATAGGGTCTGAGAGAAACCCAATATTGGACTTCCCAGTTTAGCACCTCCTAACTATAACCATCTCCAGGGCAATTGAACTTGAAAGCACCCCAGCTAACCTTTGAACCTGCCGAATCTTGGGACCTATCTTGCCTTCCACTGTTAATTGCCAGTTTAGCTTTGCTGGTAGGAACGTCTATGGCCAGAATTTTTATTGTTTCATCTCTTATTCTAATTGGACCCATCCTACCTTTGATTAATCTTTTATTCTTTATTTGTTTATAAAATACCTTAGGGTTCCCTTTTATGTTAGCCGCTAATCTTTTCTCATACAATCTCTTTGCCCTTCTTATTTCCTTTTTCAGTACTTTCTATATTTTATTTGATTATCTTCTGTATTTTGGACCTGACATTTATCATAAGCCTCCTTTTTCTGTTTTATTTGAATCCCAATTCCCTCCTTATAAGGGGAATGTATTTGTTCTGTCCCCGAACTATCTCCTCTTTGAAGGCTTCCCATTGCTTGTTAGCTGTTCTACCTGCCAATCTTTCTTTCCAGTGCACTTTGGCTAGGACCTCTTTTAACTCACTGAAATTAGCCCTTTTCTAGTTGAGTATTTTCACCTTTGATTGCTCCTTGTCCCTTTCTGTAAGTACTCTAAACCTAATGATGTTAGATGTTAGTACTCTAAACCTAATGATCACTGTTGTCCAGATGCTCTCCTACTGAAACCTGCTCCACTTGCCCACACTTCATTCCCCACAACTAGATCCGGCACTGCTTCCTTCCTTGTTGGGCTAGAAACATACTGATCCAGAAAGTTATCCTGCACACATTTCAGGAATCCTTCCCCTCCTTGCCCTTTACACTGCTATTTTGCCAGTCTATGTTAGGTTAATTGAAGTCCCCTGTTATCACTACTTTATTGGTTTTGCATTTTTCTGAAATCTGCTTCCAGATTTGCTTGTCTATCTCCTTCCCACTATTTAGTAGTCTATGGTATACACCTAACAGAGCAACAGCTCCTTTTCTGCTCCTTAACTCGAGTCAAATAGATTTTGTTTTTGGACCCTCCAGCACATCGTCCCTTTCCCAGGGCCGTAACCGTGTCTTTAATCAATATTGCCACCTCCCTCCTTTTTTCCCTTCCCTATCCCCCCGAATGCATTGTAGCCAGGAATATTCAGCTCCCATTTCTGCCCTGGTTTGAGCCAGGTCTCCGTTATTGCCACTACATCATAACCCCATGTGGCAACTTGAGCCTGCAGCTCACCCATCTTATTTGTCACACTCCGTGCATTTGCACTCTAAGACCAACTTAGTCTGCTCTGCATTTCTCCCGTCTAATCCCTCCTCTTCCTGGATCACCCCTTATTACATTGCTATTCGCCTCTCCCAGCCCTTTATGTGACTTGTTTGTCCTCCCTAATGCTACATCCTGATTCCCTTCCTGATCCTGAAGAAATGGCCTAGCTCTAATTTTAGGATGATGCCCCCTTGTTCTGGATTCACCCACCAGAGGAAATAGTTTCTCTGTAGCTACTTTATTTAATATCTTTTATCATTTTAATCACCCTTCAGCCTTCTAAAGTGAAGGGACTCATAGTTTAACCCTTTAAGTCCTGGTATCATTCTGGTAAATCTGCACTGTCCTCAGCCATGTGTCCTCACCTTGTCCAATGTGCTTCAAAATACCCCGAATAGTAAACGATGGTTGGGAGAAGTGCGGAGAAACACCACAGCAGGAGGGTTGGAAAGAATTGGGTGATAATAGGATTCTGTTGAGACAAGAGGAATCAAATAGTGTTGAAATAAAGGCATCAAAGAGACCAAACAGTCAACTATTTCTTACACCACCCTGTTTTTCCACTCAATTCTCGGGATGCTGACCTTTTTTTCACTGCCCATCGCCCATCCCTAACTCCCTGAGTAGGCGCTGTATAAATATAATTTGGTGTTGTTGGTTTGTGCTTAATTCACTGTTATCATCCGGTGGGGAAGGAGCCTTGGTGCCCATTTGCTAACAGGACATCAAGGCTCTGATACATTCAGAATCCCTGCTGATCAAGAAAGCGGATAGGATCCAGCTTGATGTTGTCTCTCACTTCCACCATTCTCTTCCTGATAGTTCATTAGGCTCACAACTGCTGTCTAGGCTCGTGCATGAAGCAGGGACATTGGGAGATTATGGACTCCAAAAAATGAAAGAATTATAATGCTTTATCATGATGTTGAGACGTCTCAAAGCGCTTCACAGGATACACTGTAACGTGGATTGTATTTTGTGGGCGAAGCGCAGCAGCCAGTGACCCAGAAACAGTAGTGGATTGAGTGAACAAACTTTTTTGGGGGGATGTGGGGGGTGGGAGAGGGAGAGGGAGGGATTATTACCCCTGGAAAGCAATCTGCCAATCAACTAACAACTGGGTTCCTATTTACTGCTGGGTAAACAGAGACATGTGGAGTAAAGAAACTTGTCTAAAATTTCACCCCACCCGGGAAACAAACCCAGGTCCTCTCCCTTACAAGGTGAGCGAGCTAACCACTACCTACGGGACTCCATGCAACAGGAAATTGGGGGTGGGGGGAGAGGAAAAGGGAGGCAACTTGATGGGGGCAGTTTTCCCTCCATTTTCTGATCGGCAGAGAGATTTGTTTCTAAAACGCTTGAACAATGACAACAAAATTACATTTGTATAGAGCCTTTCACGTCAGGGGGACGTCCCAAGGCACTGGACAGTCAATGTTTCAGACCCGAGTTGAGGGTGGGGATTTGGGAGGGTGATCGAAAGCACAGTCAAAGAAGAAGGTCTTGAAGGAGGCAACGGATGGGGCGAAGCTGAAGGGACTGCGGGATGGAGTTCCAGAGGGTGGGGGCAGAGTGGCTGAAGGCCCACCCGGCAACTGTGGGGTGGGCAACGCAGGGGAGGTGAAGCAGGCTGGAGCTCGCTGAGCGGAGGGAGCGGGCATGTTGGTAAAGGTTTAGGAGGTCAGGTCACAGAGGTAGGGGGGAGCAGGCCATGGAGGGCTTTGAAGGTGAGGACCAGGATCTTGAACTGTATCCTGTGTGGATGGGAAGCCAGTGGAGCCAGGCGAGGATGGGGGTGATAGGGTCACGGAGCCTGATGCGGGAGAGGATACGTGCTGCAGATTTCTGGATGATTCTGGAGTTCAAAAACGGTTTCGAAGTGTCTACGGGAGGTACTCACATTCAGGTACTCCACAGGCTTAGTGACGTTGAACTTGTCCATTGTGCTGATGATGATTGCAGGGGTGGTGAGGAAGAAGAGCAGGATGAAGAGGATACAGTTGATGATGAAGCAGCGGAGCCACCAGGACACTCCCCTCAGCGACAGGTGCTCCCTGAGCAGAAAGATAATAATCCTTGCATTTTATGTAGCTCTTTATTATGTTGTTCACGTGTCTCAAAATGCTTCACAGAATATACAGTAAAGTGAATTGACTGTACATTTTGTGGGAAAAACGCGGCAGCCAATTGCGAACGTTTATCCACAAACAGCCGTGGATTTGGTCACCAAATTATTATCACTGTATTATGATCTATGAAAGGTTTATTATCCCCAGAAAATGATCCGCCAATCGACTAATAATCGGGTTCCTACTTACTGCTAGGTAAACAGAGGCATGTGGAGTAAGGAAACTTGTCTAAGGTGTTGCCCCAACTGGGAATCAGACCTGGATCCTCTCGCTTGTGACGCGAGCCATTACACAACCAGCGGTAAACTCTCAGCTCAGTTACCTTTTATGATAAACACTCATTGATGGGAACAAAGCTTTAATAACTTGTGTTTACATAGCACTGTTCGCACTAAAGAAAGGTAAGTCAAAGCCCTAACTGGTAGGGTGATCCTAGCCGGACAAGCATCGGGAAAGGTTGCCAGACAGTGATATTAATGGCAAGCTATGCGGTTTTAGCTAGTTAGACTCCAGCAGTTACCCCAAGAACACTCTGGGGTCCCCACGCCTGGCTGCTGCAAACCTTTACTTTCCAGAATTGGGTTTCCACCTGTGCCAGACACCAGGCTGACCAAAAAACACTCGAAGAGTTTCTCAGAAACAAGTTAACATTGCTAAAGAGACATATAATGGGGGCAGCTGTAACACAATCATTTAATTTTAGCTGTGGTAAAGTGAGGACAAGGGCATGGATTGGCTGGATCAAGTTCCAGATCAGCTCTGGGCTGGATGGGGCCACCTTTTCACCACTACGAGGCACAATTTCCATTTGTAACCTTGAGCTGGGATGGTTTTCAAAAGCTTCTTCTTCGACCTGGCCCTCACTCTCTTCGCCCTTCACCTCTCATGACTCCAACCCTCAGCTCGGGTGCAAATCCTTCACTGTCTAGCACCTTGTGACGTCTTCCCGATGTGAAAGGCACTTTAGAAATGTAATAGATGGGACCGACATAGTGGGTGGTGCCATTTATACCTCAGGACCGTTAGGGCTATGAAACTATTATTGCAACAAAAGTTGCATGTATATAGCGCCCTTCAAGCAGGGTGGTGTCACAGAGCTCTAGATTCTCAAGAGCAGCAAAAAACAGGTAATTACCAATAGATGTTATGGGGATCAGGGGCGTAGGTCACAGTCCAGCGGGAAGCATGGAGGAATTCACTGTAGGACGACGGCTGCGGCTCTCCCCTGAACACACATCCCTGACATTTGCAGGCGTTGAAGTCTTTCAGAATTCTGCAGGGAGCAAAGGGCAACCATTTCTATTTGTATTTCACAAACCTGCAGCATTAAAGCTAACACCCAAACAACACTAACAGCTTTTTACTGTGGTCCATTTCTACAAAACCTTGGTTAGACCACACGTGAAAGTATTGTGTCCAGTTCTGGTCACCACCGTACAAGGATATTGTAGCAATGAAAAGAGTATAGCGTGGGTTTACTACTAATAATAATAATCCTTGCATTTGATATAGCGCTTTTTCACATCTTCTAGACGTCTCAAAGCGCTTCACAGAATATACTGACCAATTTATTATTGTTTTGGAGGGATTATTATTAGGCGTGTGGAGTAAGGAAACTCGTCCAAGGTTTCGCCCTGTGCCTGGAATTGAACCCAGGTGTCTCGCTTGCAAGGCGAGTGCTCTAACCACTGAGCTACGGGACTCCACAAGTACAGGACTACTAGGATGATACCCAGGCTGGCAGGTTACTGCTATCGGGATAGACTGGTCAGGTTAGGCTTTTTTTCATTAGCTGTTTAAGAGGGAACCTAATAAATGTTTAAAATTATAAAAGGTTTCAATAAGGTTAATGTAAATTGGCTGCATAAGATAGCGACTTGGGAATCTAAAACAGAATTTAGCAGGAACTACTTCACGCAGAGGGTAGTGAGATTGTGGAACTCGCTGCCTGAAGCGCTGATTGAATCAGACGGTGCAGATACATTCAAGAGGAAGCTAGACCTTCATATGAAGGAGAACAGAAAGATGTGAGAAGGATGAGGAGTGGGTGAAGACTCTTGTGGAATATAAACACCGGCACAGACATATTAGGCTGAATGGTTTGTTTCCATGCTGTATGTTCTTTGTAAATCTTTGCAAAATGTTCACCTACAAAACATAGTCTCTACAATTTACAGCAAATCCCAGGGAGTGCTTTGAGCTGTCCACAACCTATGATATTCCTCATCAAGCACGTACCTAATTCCCTATGAAAGCTATCCTTCGGGGGGGGGGGGGGGGGGGGGGTGGGGAAGAGAATAACCAGGGTCTCCTTGGAGTTGAACCTTTCCCCAAGGTGATATGTCAGAATCGAGCCAGCTCTCTGTGGTGGTCTCTAGTCCGGTTCCTGAGCCAGGCAGGTTCACAGTACTCCAGGGTACTGCCAGCCTGGCTCATCAGCAGAACTTGGAAGGGTAGATCAGTCATTGGGCAGGGAATCCTCCCAGTCAGCTCCTGTTTAACCCTGCAAGCCAAAGTCCTAACAGGTAGGGTAGTCCTAGCGGGACAAGCAGTGGGAAAGCTTGACAGACAGCAATATCAATAGCAAAATATGTGGTTTAGCTGGTTAGACTCCAGCAGTTATCCAAAAACACACTCTGGTGTCCCCAAGTGCGCCTACATTTTCGGAGTTAGGTAAGCAGATGTGTCCCTCCAGGGAGAGAGTGCGGATTCCATTCCAACAATCTATCTCTGGAAATTCCATGTGGAGGTGGGATGCATGGAATTCTTAGTTTGGTTTGGATACTCTTAAGCATGGGGATGGGTTTCTCTACATGTGTCAGACACCCAGCCTCTGACCAAAAAAACATTTTGAAACCAGAATCTACAGACACAATCTCGCCTACATTTTTCTAATGATCTTAAACGGGAGACTTCCAGCACTGATCCATTGATCAGCAGAAATAATCGATTGAACTCTTAAAAGCTTGTCACTATCCATCAGAATCCCGAGGACTACCCTGAGCTCACCCTCAGTTCTAATGCAAAAAGCCTCAACTTCTGAAGCCTCTTCATAACTTGAGATGAAGAGAGCTCTTGTGGAGTATGGAATTCAAGGGTCCTAATATGCTAACTGACTTGCTGCGCATGTACAACATTAACTCCATTAGTGCTCAGATTCAGGCTGTGCTGGTACAGTTTAGCGTTTTGACAATCCTATAATATACTTTGTCACATGGTTGAATTGTCTCAAAATAAATCAATCCTTGAATTTGATACAGCGTATTTGAGGAGGTTGTTTGAAACCACTTCACAAGATTTGCTGTAAATTTTGAAGGTGAACTGTGTACTTTGTAGGTGGACATTGTATTTTGTAGGTGAACATGGCAGCCAATTTGTACACAGCAACAAACCACGAACAGCCATGAAGTGAGTGACCAATATTATCTGGGGAATTGTTGGCTAGGACACCCGGAGAGAGAAACTCCCTTCATTTCATAAATAGTGCCATGGGATCTTTAACATCCACCTGGGCAGACAAAACAGAACCTTGGTTTAATGTCTCATCCAAAGGACGTCATCTCCAACATCGAAACTTTCAATAGAATAGACCGAGTTCAAAATCCCGACATGGGGGTTTGAGTCCACAATTTTCTAACCTAGAAGCGAAATTGCTATCGACTGAGGCAGGATGACACAGTAAAGTGCTTCACAGGGTTTGCTGTACAGGCTGTCCACAAAGTCCTGTTACCCCCATGTTTCTTTCTCTACAGAGCACTGTCCAACTCGTGAAACACATAGAAGAATGATAATAATCACATTTAGAAGTACTTCATTGTATTCAGTATAAGTGTTTAACTGTATTCAGATGTCCAGAGGATGGGTGTGTGTGATCGCATCATATTCATGGCAGATAATGATCTGTCGCCATGTTCGGTGCCACATTTTCCATAACATGATGGAGTGACAAGGCCAAATGTATCTCTGACGGCTTGTTTCAGCTCCTCCATAGTCTCGTATCATTGTTTTGTAATGTGTGTGTGTGTGTGTGTGGTGTGGGGGGAAAGATGACTTTTTTGGACACCCTGTAGAGAGCAGTGACTGGACTCTCTCTGTAGGTGAACCCTCTGGAAAGTGGAGCCCTAGACTTCAGTGGCCCAACTCACCGAGCCGTTGCGGCTTCGTTCTGGAATGTTACGAACGCCATGCCAAGTGGTTTCTCGTTCACTTTCTCCTTCTCCTTCATGTACTCCACCTTCAGTTTCTGTTCCAGGTTAGTGTAATAGTCCACTGCATTCTCCTGTGGAGAGAAACGGGAATTTGTGTTGTGTGTGTGCAAGTGTGCTCTCTGTAGCCAAAATCAAAAATAACAAGATTACATTTACACAGCACCTTTCACATCAGAAAGACATCCCAAGACGCTGGACAGTTGGGGGTTTGCACCTGAACTGGGGTTTGGAATCAGGAGAAGTAGAGGGTAGGGAGGGTGGGGGTGGGAGAGTGGCCAAAGGCACAGTCAAAGAGGAAGTCTTGAAGGAGGCGAGGCAGTAGGGAGGAGCATGACAGTGGGGAACTTTAAAAGTAAAGATGAGGATTTTAAAAACATGATCAAATGTGGCTCAAGCTGATCCCTGCCTCTCTGCGTCCCCTCTATCTGTTCAATTTGGCATTCCCACCTCCCTTACCTTCTCACAGCCTTTAACCACACAGCAGCAAAGCTGCCCACAAGGCTTCGGGTGGATCATCACCGGAGTCTCTTCTTTAGAATAGTAGATCCGGTTGCGTTCAGCTTTCCGCCTGAAAGAAAACGTACTTTCTTTTCATTTCAAAAACAAAACCTACAGAAAGTGAAGCGTTTTTACCTGATGCTCACACCTAATCCTTTCTTTAAAGAGAAAATCAGGAATTTCACCACCTGATTACCACTCACCAATATTATCTATAACTTTGGACAAAAAAATCCAAGACTTCTTGTGGGACACTGTTATGCGCAATTGCTTGCTGCATTCCGCCCACAAAATATACAATCAATTCACTTTACAGTACATTCTGTGAAGATCTTTGAGATGTTTCAACTACATTATGCGCTACATCAAATGCAAGGATTATTATTATTATATTTCATAAAACCGAGGATTCCAATATCTTTGTCTCAATCTGAGATTGTGAGCTCAGGTCCAAAGGAAGCACTTTGTTGGTGTTGTCCAGAGTAAAACACATCTCTGCAAATAGTTCATGGAGAAATAAAACTAGCATTTTATAAGGCAGACGGATTGATTTCTAATGTAATGAGAACGAAAATAAAAACAATAAATGTCTTAAGGACAACGTATAACAGCTCTTAACAGAATTAAAAAATATTAAAGGGTATTACAAAAAGGGGAGTGTGTTTAAATAGCTCTCTTTCACAAGCAGAACAAAGGCCAAAAAGCTTCCTTCTGCGCTGTGAAACATGATAGAAGACTGAGCAAATAACACGATAGCAGAGATTGCTGTTTCCATCACGTACCTGTCTGCATCAAGGCGCATGAGCTTTGCTACATTATAGCACAGACGAGCCTCAAGGACTGTGCACTCAGGATACGCCTCTCTGCAATAGACACAGAATCAATTGATACAACATGCATTTATATATATGTGTATATATATAGTGGTTAGAGCACTCGCTTTGCAAGCAAGTGGGTTCGATTCCCGGCAGGGTGAAACCTTGGGCAAGTTTCCTTACTCCACACACCTGATAATAATCCATCAAAAAAAATAATTGCTCACTTCAATCCACGACTGTTTGTGGAACTGTTTGGCTGGCGCCTTCTGCCCACAAATATACAGTCAATTCACTTTATAGTCTATTCTGTGAAGCGCTTTGAGACAGCTAGAAGACGTGAAAAGCGCTATATATCAAATGCAAGGATTATTATATTATTATATAAAGCTCTTTACACAGGGTAGCGTCTTGGAGCGCTTAACCGTGGTGGAGCCTGACACCGAGTTGGGGGCAGGAAGGTGGTGACCGTGAGCACAGTCGAAGAGGAATGTCTTCAGTTGTGATCTAAGAGGGGAAGGAGGGGCAAGGCAGAGAGATTGGGGGACAGACAGTTCCAAAGCTTTGGAGCACAGTGGCCGAAAGCATGGCCGGAACGGTAGAGTAGAGAAGACAAGGGGCAAACAGGTTGCAAGAGTGAATCCTGGAAGCAACGAGTAGTGGAGTGGAGAGCAAGCAGGTCAGAATGGTAGGGAGGTGCCAAGGGATTTGTAGATGAGTGAGAGGATCTTGAAATCAATCCATTCTGTGATACGGAGCCAGTGGAGCCTGGCGATGACTGATGTGATGGGGGAACAGAGATTAGGGTGGGTTTGCCTGTCCTCTGCGCAATATGCTGCCTATTCCCCGCCCACTGCCTAGTCGTGACCTGTCCTCCCTCAGCACATACCCCCCAACTCGGCACCTCCCATGGTGGTCCCAGACAACCTATTGCTCAACTGTAAGGAGGTAATCAAGTTACATGTAAGAGCTTTCTTTGCTGCTCAAACTGTAACAGAGACCCTGGATGTCTGACGTACCTGAAGTGTTCTTTGATTTTTTCCGGTTCAGCATACTTTGATAAACCATTAATAAATAATGTGCGTTTCACCTGTAGCAATTTATAAATAGCAAATAATTGGTCAGTTTTGAGACACACAGAAACAACTAAACACGTACATACACCCAGTGATACAAAAGAGAGTTTCAGCAATTCCACACACTCTCCTGCACCTCACACGTACAACCAGTCAGAGTCTAGTCCAGACTGCATCTTCCCCAAGCACAGGCCCATCTGGTTATCTTAATAAAAAAGCATTAGAATTGAACTCTGTTCTCTGGAACTTCCTCCTGAAATCTCTCCCTCAAACTCTCACTCCCTCCCGAAATCTCGCTTCTTCGTTTCAAATGCGATCTTCTATTCTCCTCCTTCTCACTTGTTACATGATTCATATCATCCCTTGTTAAGCACCCAAGGCCCCAGCACGTGAAAGGTGCTATATAGGTACACAGTCCAATTATTGATATGGATCTGAACTATGAGGTTTATTTTGTTTTATTTTAAAAAAAACTACTTTGAATTCATACATATTGATTAAACATATTCAACAGAGATTGAATTGGATACTTCAAATCTATTTTTTGCTTGCCTGTTCTGTGTGCTTGTGACAGACAGCTAACCAACAACAACAAATTACATTTATACAGCGCCTTTCATGTCGGCAGGATGTCCCAAGGCACTGGCAGTCAAGTATTTACACCCAATACTGGAATCCATCATCAGTGCAGAGTGATTGAACACTTGGACAGGTCTGAGCTAGTCAAAGAGAGTCAGCATGGGTTTGTGAAGGGTAGGTCATGTCTGATTAATCTAGTTGAATTTTTTGAGGTTACTAAAATGGTGGATAAGAGTGGCTATGGATGTCATTTATATGGACTTTCAGAAGGCAATTGATAAGGTTCCACACAAAAGATTAAATGGAATTGCATGGAGTCGGAGGTAACCTTGTGACGTGGCTTGGTAATTTGTTGGGAGGCAAGAACCAGAGAGCAGTGATGAAGGGTACTGCGTTCAGTTTTGGGCACCACACCTCAGGAAAGATATATTGACCCTGGAGCAGGTCACCAGAATGTTACCAGGCCAAAAAGGGTTAAGTTATGAGGAAAGGCTGCGTAAACGTGGATAGTATTTCCTTGAGCTTAGAAGGTTGAGGGGTGATTGAGGTATTAAAGATGACAAAGGGATTTGATAAGGTAGATATAGAGAAGCTATGTCCTCTGAGGGGGTGGGGGGGGAGGGGCATGGGGAGTCCAAAATAAGTTGGCATAGTCTTAAAATTAGAACCAGGCCATTTAAGAGTGAAATCAAGAAGCATTTTTTCACTCAAGAGGTGGTAGAAATCTGGAATTCTCTTCTCCAAAAGGCGTGGATGCTGGATCTATCCACATCTTCAAAAATCAGATTGATAGATTTTTGGTAGGTCAGGTATTAAGGGATATGGGGAGAAAGTGGGAAATTGGAATTGAAAGGATTAGTTGAGGTACAGATCAGCCATGATTTAATTAAATGGCGGAACAGGCTCGAAGGGCTGAATGGCCTACTCCTGTTTCTACGTTCCTAAGCTGGCGATTGGGATTGGGGGGGTTGGGGGTAGGAGGATGACCAAAGACACAGTCGAAGAGGAAAGTCTTGAGACGGGCCTTAATGGATGCAAGGGAGAGGGTGAAGCAAACGGCTTGTGGGATGGAGTACCAAAGAATTGCGTCAGAAAGGCTGAAGCCTTGACTGCCGATGGTGGAGTGGGCAGGTTGGGAGACATGGAACAGGCTAGAGCCTGCTGAGCAGAGGGAGCAGACAGGTTGTTATGGAGTTAGCAGGTCACAGAGATAGGCCAGAGGAAAGGTGGCTGACCACTGAGATACAGCATTGGGGACAGGGGAGTCCCTGCAGTCTATTCTAATTCTCTGCAAAGGCAAGGCATACAACAAACAACAATTCCCATTTATATAATGCAGGATAACATCTCAGAGCACTTCACAAAGATATCCAAGGAAGAAGATTCAAAGAGGTATGTTTTTATGTGTTTAAAGACAACCACAACAACTTGCATTTATATCGTACCCTTTGTGGCCACCGTCTCGGAGCGCTTCAGAGAGGGTGCAAGACTGAAGGGCAGAGGGAAGGAGTCCCAAGGGTTTGGAGCATTGCAGCTAAAGGCTTGGCCACCTATGGGTGGAGGGGAGGTGAAGAGGTAAGTCTGTCTGAGATTTAATAAAGTCCAAGGCAGAGATGGAACGAATCAGCGAGTTTGGTGCAGGTTAGGATGTAGCCAGTGGTATCCCTGGGGTAAGTAAGGCTTTGTTCACCGAGGTGGAAATGCCGCACAGTTTATCATGCGAGTACACTGACGACTGCGACACTTACCAAATCGTCCTCTCTGTAGTGCATCTTTGAGGTATGCCGTCTCATACTGTAGACTGTGAGGAGCAGGTAAAGGAAAGCAAAGGACGTGTGGAGCCATAGCAGATTGTCTCTGTGTTGTTAAATAAAAACAAGATCAATAAATAATATAAAAAAGGTCCATCGAGCATCATTCTATGTACACATATTGATAGCGACTTCCCTACTGAATCTACCCAATCTGCCTGGCTCCCACATGTGTAACACTGATAGACTATTCATTGTGTGCCTACACATTGCTGCTTTTGGATGATAAAACAGCAGGAACTGTAAGACCTTGTAAAACACAAGCAGGCAAATAAAAATGTACTGTTCGTTCACCAAATATGATGTCAGACATCTGGGTGATTTATCAAAGCGCATAGGTTAGCATAAGTGACTTCAGTGGGGGAAGACACACCCAAATCGGCTGAATAACCTCTTTCTGTGCCATAAGCTATATTTCCTTGGGCCTGGGAGTCCAGCAAGTGCCTATAAAAAGTTAAGTTTTCGGAAATGTGTTAACATTTCCTACAATACAGAAATGGCTCAGAGCAGCAGTGAGAGAATTAGTAGTTATAGGTTTATGGATTATTATTGCATTAGATTATCTAATGTAAGAATGATTATCCATGCAAGTTTTTTTTAATACAACTCTTCTACACTCCAGTCTGCGCTGAGTTAGTTGAGTGATGGTGGGGTGTGTATAGTTATAACAAGAGAGTTGGGTTCCTTAAAACCCCAGCTAGTTACAAATGGGACGTGATCACCAGTTAGTGATTCTGTATTCACTGAGCCCGAGCTAAGAAGGCTGGCTAGCTTCCCATTCTAAACAACAACAACAAATTACACTCGTATAACGCCTTTCACGTTGGAAAGACATCCCAGGGCGCTGAGTTCTGGATGCCGAAACAAGACACCGACTTCCTGTCCATCAGGTCTGGGCAACATCACAGCCAATGCACTCCACACTCGCACACAGGGAGAGATGCAGCTGCTCCATGGCAGATCTTTCAACTCATCTCCGTTCTCCTGATGTGAGAGGCGCTATATAAATATAATTTTGTTGCGGATTCAAGTGCCACTTGAACATATGTAGTTTAAGCTGATGCTCCAATGCAGTGCTGAGGGAGTATTGCATAGTCAGAGGTGTCCTTCAGATGAGACGTTAAACCAAGGTCCCATCTGCCTGTTTTAAATGAACATTAAAAATCCAGTGGCCCAATCAGAAAAGAGAAGGGAGTTTCTCCCTCGGTGTCATAGTCAACAATTCCCCCAGACAAAATTGGTCACTTTCTCCATGGCTGTCTGTGGGCACAGTGCTGGGCGCAATTGACTGTCATGTTTTGCCTACAAAATACAGTTAATCCACTTTAGTGAATCCTGTGAAGTGCTTTGAGATGTCTTGACGAGGTGATAAGACGCTATATAAAAATGCAAGGATTTTCTCTCCCACTAACATCCAGCAAGAGACAGCTACGTATAAACAATGCACAGTGCGTGCTGGGCTCTGTCGAGCCAGGATGTTGGGATGCATACCCAGAATTCAGGTTGGCTATTGTAGTCCGCCCAAAGCTGTATGCATTATTTTCTGAAAGGAAATAGAAAGAAAAGTTAAGAGATGGCTTTTATTATTAAAAATCCAGGGAACTGCAACCCCGCACGTCCATGGAAAACTAAACCAGTGGAAAAACTTCCCAGACAGGCAAGGCTCACAGCGCACATTTCAGACGTGACATGTGCAGGCCAGCGCATTAACATTAAACCCCTTGAAAGCAATTCCACGGGAATGCCGATCTATGCTGAGTTAGTGGATTGTAGCTGGAACAGCAGCTGTGGTGCTAGGACTGGCCTTGGGATCCTGAGTTCAGAAGAGGAAAAACAGCTGATAACAAGCCAGGGCTCCAGTCACACCACAGAAACCACTGTCTGGAATGTGCTGGTGTGTGGACTAAATACCAACCCTCTCCAACACACGCGCACGTAAACAGGAACAAGCATATATACATACACACATACATATATAATATATAACCAGCTATGTGGAGTCCCAAAGCAGCAATTAGCTCACTCGCCTCGTAAGCGAAAGGAGCCAGGTTCAATTCCCTGGTGGGATAAAAGCTTAGGTTAAGTTTCCTTACTTCACACTCCTCGGTTTACCTAGCAGTTAAGTGTTTGGCAGATAGATCGCTTTCCCTCTTAAACATTTTTCACTCAATCCATGTCTGTTTGTGAGACATTGCTATACATAATTGGCTCCTGCGTTTCACCCATAAAATATAGTCAATCCACTTTATTTACAATATATTCTGTGAAGTGCTTTTGAAATGTCTCAATGGCGTGATAAGGCACTATATCAAATGCAAGAATTATTATTAATAACTGACATTAGGCTTGCACATGATGAATGATCGCATAGCCGAGGTACCAGAGGGCAGTTGATGTCCTTGGAACTGCAGGGAATAGGAACCAGTGTGGTGAGCACGGGGAAGAGATGGAAAGAAATTAGGCAATATTGCAGGGAGTAGATTGGGCAGACTGTTAGCAGGCAGAGCGGGGGCCCCAATCCCACATGTTCTCGCAGGTTATTAGGAAAACCAAATGGAGAGAACTTCAGCAGCTGCTAAGAGTGGAACATACAGAATGCAGCCATGTGGAAAGAGAATTTTCTTTTAAAGTAAAAAAAAGTCCAGTGACTGTTTCTCAGAAACATGTGCATTCCTTCAGATCAGAAAGATAATCTGATCTCAGTGGGTGCCGGCCTCTGCTGTTGCATCTTCATCTGCTTTTATTACAACACAAACCAACCGTCTCAAACAGTGACTGTGTTCGGAAATAACACTGTCATGCACTACACAGCGACTGTGTACAGATATCACATTGTCACACATTGTCAGCCACTACACAGCACTGTGTGCAGACATCACATTGTCAGCCACTACACAGCGACTGTGTACAGACATCAACATTCTAGGGCTACAGCAAGTTATAATCTACTGGAAATCAGTCAGACTTCAGCTGCTAAGAAGAATCTTTTGTACTGAAATAAAGCAGAGTCAGAGAGGGCAGACCGGATAGGATCAAGGGTAATTGTCTGTTCAGACTATATACAGACAACTCTCCCAATTTAATGAGCTACAAGCAGCAATTACATTGCCGAAGGCTCTTTAGTCGTGAAAGGAGACAATGCTCTGACACGCTACTCCACATGAAGGTTGCTGTATAAACTGCTAGTCGTTGTTTCAGAGGGGATCTCATAGAGGCACACAAGTTTCACCTACAAAATACAGTTGCTGCACTTTACAGTACAGCCTGTTTCTTAAATGAGTTCCAGCATTCTGACCTCAACCTTTCTGGTAACCTGTTCCAGTCATAAATTACCCTCTGTGAAAGGAAATACATCCTGATGTCTGTCCTACCCTTTGCAACCCTGAATTTGCATCCTCTTGTTCTGCTGTGTGTGTTAAAATTATTGTTCTGGGGTTTACTGCCTCTATCCCATTTAAAGTCCTGTACACCTCTATAAGGTCCTCTCTTCAAGACTTGGGTAGCCCTAACTTATCTAAGTCTAACTCATTCCTCTATCACTGGGGATCATCTTCATGGCTCTCCCCTGCTCAGCCTCCAGGTAGTAGAATGCGATTGGTGGGGGGGGTAAATTCTACACTAATCTGAAGAAAGCAATGAGCAAGTGGTAAATCTATGGAACCGACGCCCTTGGGAGATGGTGGAAGCAGAAAGTGTTGATTCATTCAAACGTAAATTAGATAATTTCTTTTAGAAAATAATAATTTGGGATATAATATTATGAATCACTTGAGACATGACATATAGTAACTGTTGTATACTTGGAAGAACCAGGCAACTTTGGATCTAAGGTTCCCAAAGTTTTCCACTCTGTGGTAGATTAATCCATACAGAATTAATTGCTTTCAATATCTCCATTATTGCAGCAATTGATTACCAGGATGGTAGAAGGTGAACTAGATGAACTTTGGACTTTTTTGCTCTAGCAATTCCTAAGTTCATACAAATGTTATTTCAGTCAGATGATAAATCTTGGTTTATCTGTCCACAAGCAGGGGCCAGCTGGCATTTATCTGTGGGACTGGAACAGGGAGAGGCTTCATTTTAATAAAAACAAGCTCAATCTCATGGAGTGGGTGTCACTGGCACTTTGCCAGGTTTAAACAGAGTTGGATGTCCCTGGCTGCCCAACGATGGGTGGAGCTCCTCTCTAAACCACTTCCGATCCCGTGGTGATGTTGCTCCCACAAGGGGTGGGGAGGGGGGTGGGTGGGGACATGGGTCCATCAGGAGGGCGCAGTATAGATTACTGATCGGATTTTATACGACCTACACAGTTTGCCTGTAACTCAGACTTCGGACTTCATATTTCATGTTTTGGTCCCGACTGATAGAACTTGAGTTTTACTGTATATTTCACAACAACTTGCATTTATATAGCACCATTTACGCAGAGTAATTGCCGGTACTCCGCCAGTACACAATGCAGACAGTGTGGGAGAGAGAGTGAAAGTTGACTGGAGTAGCCAGTCTCTCCAATGTTGTAAGGGGTGAGGCAGATCAGTGAGAGCAGGTCAGATACAGGGAAGCATGGCCTGGCTGGGGGGGATGGCACTCACCAAGTAGGTCTCCTGAGAAGTTAACGGGCAGCACGATACCCACGGACAGGACCCCGATGATGACCAGCAGCCCGATGATGTGACGCTGAAAAGACAGGTAGTGCACGGCGTCCTCCCCACATTTCTCTCGGATCTCCTCATCCCTGCCGAGGTCAAGCGGAGAAAAAAGATGTTGAGCTAGGTTTGGATGTGACTGGGTGGGGGGTTGATGTCAGAGAGTGAGGATGGGGAACCGTGGGAGATATATAGTTAAGAAGGAAAAATTTGCAGGGCTATGAGGTAAGAGTGGGGGAGTGGGACTAGTTGGATAGCTCTTTCAAAGAGCCGGCACATCTCTTCTTCAGGGCCGAATGTCCTCCTTCTATGCTGTAAGATTCTCTGATTGGTGAGTCTGTCTACATGGAGCTCGTGGGTCAGAGTTGGGCTGCAGTGGAGAGGAAGCCGGCCCTTGCATAGACAGAGAAGGGAGATTGGAGGGACTGGGACTCCAGGACACTGCTAACGACAGCATCATCAACAACAGAGATGGCTCATCGGCAGGACTGGGAAGGGCAGACCAGTCACTTGAGGGCAGGGAATCCCCACACGCAGTTTCTTTTAATAATAATAATAATCCTTGCATTTGATATAGCGCTTTTCACGTCAGGAGGACGTCCCAAAGCACTTCACGGAATATACTGTAAAATGAATTGACTGTATATTTGTGGGCGAACGCGGCAGCCAATTGCGCACAGCAATGTCCCACAAACAGTCATGGATTGAAAATGACCAATTTATTATTGTTGTTTTTTTTTGGAGGGATTATTATTAGGCTCTGTGTGGAGTAAGGAAACTTGCCCAAGGTTTTGCCCTGCCTGGAATTGAACTCAGGTCTCTCACTTGCAAAGTGAGTGCTCTAACCACTGAGCCACAGGACTCCACAAAACTTTAACCCTGCAAGCCAACGCCCTTATGGGTAGGGTTGTCCTAGCTGGACAAGCAGTCCCTCCTCCTGACCGCCCTCTTGCCTCCTTCAAGGACTGTTTCAAGACCTTCCTCTTCGACCGCACCTTCAACCATTGTCCCACCCCCCCACACCACCTTGCGCTCCACCCCTCTTGACTCCAACTCCCAGCTTGGGTGCAAACCCTTGATGATCTAGCTCCTTGGGATGTCCTCCCGATTTGAATGACAGTTGTAAAATCTTGTTGTTTTAGAAATTACATTTTATTGTAAGTTCCCATTTGTTACGACTTTAAAATCTCAACAAAATTATGATGTTGGTTATAGCATGGAGAGAACCACAAGTATCTTTATTTGCAACGCCCTCCGCTATACCCGCCACCGTGTTATTATCTGTGTTGTTATAATTGGGGTGGACAAAGGGAGGGAGGAGTACATTGTAACCAGAGGGCGTAGTGGGACACTGGCAATATCTAGACAGAAGCTCGGCTTGCTTCCACACATCACAAATTATGTCTCCTTCGGTTCACTGTTCACATGTTAGTCATGTGGTGGATGCAGATGTGCTCCATCACATTGGTTAAGCTCGTACCAGCATTAACCTCTGGCTTTTATGTGTGGTATAAAACAAGAAGACAGAGCGAGCAAAACTTTCAGAGACAAATACTCACTTTATTCTAAAGATGGCCGTCAACCATGAACAGAATCCCTGTGAAGATAAACACAAGTAGTTGGTGAGAAAATTAACTCTGCGTCTGGGTTTGGCAGACAGAGAACAAGTGAGGGGCCTTTGACCAGCCACAAATTAATCCGTACTCAGAGGGCTTAGTGTCCCAAATCAGCTGATCAACTGCACTCAAGATCTAAGAGTCTCCGCCCCAGAAACCTGCCCTGTATCAGCCATCTAATTCACAAATACCTTGAACTCAGAACTCGGGAAGTGCTTCATACAACAAGTTACTTTGAAGCTTAGTGTCTACCCTATGCTGCAGTGGCACACAGCACAGACGTTAAGCTTCAAAGCAAGAGAGCCTCTCATGTTGGGATGGGGAGGCAAGCAGCTTAAAGTCCACGCAGCTCAAAGATGAAATGTGCATAAGAGTGTGTATTGTGCACAGACATTGTGTGTGAGTGTAAATAGTGCAAGCTCTATATATATATTGGACTGTCTTCCATGACATGAAAGGCGCTATATAAATGCAATTTGTTATGTGTAAACATTTTCTGTATATATTAAAATATATAAATGAGGGTATAACACAACTTTGACCTACAAAGTCACTTCACTATAGAAACTATAATACTTGATAAATGCAGAGATTATTATTATTTTGATATTATAATAATAATAATAATCCTTGCATTTGATATAGCGCTTTTCACGTCAGGAGGACGTCCCAAAGCACTTCACAGAACACACTGTAAAGTGAATTGACTGTATATTTGTGGGCGAACGCGGCAGCCAATTGCGCACAGCAATGTCCCACAAACAGTCATGGATTGAAAATGACCAATTTATTATTGTTTTTGGTTTTGGAGGGATTATTATTAGGCTCTGTGTGGAGTAAGGAAACTTGCCCAAGGTTTTGCCCTGCCTGGAATTGAACTCAGGTCTCTCGCTTGCAAAGCGAGTGCTCAACCACTGAGCTACAGGACTCCACAATATATTATATATACACACACACACACACGATCACAAGATCGGCGGCCCATCTGACCTCATCCCTCCAGAACACCCACCCACCCTACCATCCCCCAATCACAGCATTGAGCAGCTTTTTAAATGTGTCGTGGCCTCAAACACCCTTCCTGGTAACCTGTTCCCGAGAGTAAAGCGATCTGAGACGCCGTCCGGGGTGGAGGACCCTATATAAATCCAAGTTGTTGTTGTTGAGTAGGTGTTAATTAGCCTCTGGGTAAAGAAAACCATCCTGGTGCCTGTCCTGAAAATGCCCTTTTACAATTCTAAACCATGTCCTCTTGTTCTTTTCTCTTGTTGCATCTTAAAGTATTGACCTGGGTTTAATGTTTTCAATCCCATTTAAAAACTGATATACCTCTATGAGGTCCTCTGCTCCGAGTCACCTTCTCTCAAGACTGAAGAACCCTAGCTTGTCTAGTCCATCAGTGGAATGGAGCAGGCTTGTCCATGACAGAACAGTATTTTTTGATCAGCCGGGTGTCATGTGGAAACCCATCACCATTCTTAAAGAGTATCCAGGCCAAACTGAGAATTCCATGCATCCCAGCTACACGTGGAAATTCCAGAGATAGACTGTTGGAATGGAATCCGCACTCTCTTCCTGGAGGGACACATCCTGCTTACCTAATTCCGGAAAATATTAGGCACAGATTGCCAAGACTTGGGGACCCCAGAGTTTGCGTTGGGGGAAACTGCTGGAGTCCATAGCTTGCCACTGATATTGCTGTCTGGCAAGCTTTCCCACTGCTTGTCCAGCTAGGGCCACCCGACCCATCAGGGCTTTGCCTTGCCGAGTTAACTATAGGAGGATTCCGGACCCCAGTGACTGGTCTGCTCTTTGAGGTCCTGCCAATGAGCCAGACTTGGTGGGCTGTGCTGTCATCAGCAGTACCTGGAATGTTTCAGACTTGCCTGGCTCAGGAACCGGATTAGAAACCGCCTACAAAATACAGCCAATTCACTTTACAGTATATTCTCTGAAGCGCTTTGGGATATCTCAACGACGTGATAAGGTGCTGTATCAAATGCAAGGATTGTTATCATCATCACAAATGCTTCATGGAGGGGCCCAATGTGCAATATTAATCTCATTCTCATCTTTCACAACACCAGACTGGAGCTGGAGATGGCTCCAAGCAGGAGATGAGCACCCGAACAGAGTATCTGTGGTTTGGCCTCGGACACATCAGGGAACTTGTGTCAATTTTGCAGATTACCCTCAATACTATAAACACTTACAGAACTAAATCTGAATCACATCCACACACGTGTGACTTTCCTCTCTTTCTGCTCTCAGATAACGGATTGGGCACTTGATATCACCCAGCACACCAGGGTATTCATTACACTGCAGGCAACTGACTGGATGCAAACATCTGTTGCACTATTCGAGAAGAGAAGGGAGTTTTTCCCCGCAATAAAAACTGTCATTCGCTTCACAGCTGTTTGTGGGATATTTCTGTGAATAAAATTGGCAGCCGTGTTTGGTTGCATTACACCCATGGCTACAGTCACTGCACTTCAGTGTATTTGCCCACAAAATGCAGTCAATCCAATTTACAATATATTCTGCAAAGCGCTTTGAGAGGTCTTGAGGTGATAAGACGCTGTATCAAATGCAAGGATTAATAATATTATTATTATTTTGTGAGGCATTTTGAGACTTCTTCCTGATATGATGATCGCTATATCAAATTCAACGATGATTATTATAATAATTATTATTAATCAAACTCAGTTGGGTGAAACGTTTCTCAATCAGGTGAGTTGTCATACCCACATTTGACCAACTGAGGGCATGCAAGATCCACTCAAGCACTGCTCACCACACACAGCTGTAATCACTTCCAGCCGAGCGAGGGAACGTCACTGAGATAAGAACCAGATCTCAAGCCCCTGCAAACCCCCAACAAGCAATCATGCCCACACCTCCCTGCAGCGGCGGGACCCTGATCATAGGTCACAATACAACAGACGCTGACAGCCACTTGTTAACTCATTCCACACTTTGCTCTTCGACTCACTATTGTGGACGTTTGGCGATTTAATAAACTGAGGCAGATCGAGTTTCACGTCTGTGCAAATATATCAGGCCTTTGCAACATCTGGTGTATTTCACTGGCCTTTCAACTCCCACGAATATAAACTAGTCAAACATACCATCGGCCTGAACCCACCCACACCCCTGCTCCGGCCTCACCCCCACCCCCACCCCAGCCTCATCCCCCCTCCGCTCGAGCCTCACCCCCCTCTCCCATTACATCCTCAACCCCCCCAGCCTCACCCCCTTCACTCTGCTCCAGCCTCACCCACCCACACCTCCAGCTTACAACACCATCAGAAACTAGATCCCAGCTGGAAAACAAACAGGCAGAACACAGCCATTTCAATCAACCACAGAGGAAGGAAAGGTGGGGGGGCTTCAACTCCAATAGACAGTGCCCAGAAAAGTAAAAAATTGCACTTGTAATAGTCCCTTTCACACAGGGAGAGCAGTTCAAAGCACTTTTCAAAGACTAAATGGGAGTCTGAAATGGGAGGGAGATGGGAAAGGAGGGGGGAATGGGAAAGGCAGGCTGAGGGTGCTGTCAAAGAGATGGGTCTTTAGACTGGTTCAGAAAGCAAGGAGTAAGAGAGGTCCCAAAGCAGCAGCAAGCTCCAGAGGGTAGGGATCAAGTGGCTGAAAGCTCACCCGCCAATGGTGGGGTGAAACAAGTGGAGAGCATCAGCAGAGAAGAATTGGTGAAGCAGAGGGAATGGCTGGGAGTGCAAGGTTGTAGGAGATAGAGTGGGGTATCAAATACAAGGATTATTATTATAATAACTAATAGGGTCTAATTTGCAGCATTTCTTAATCGGATTACTTAACAAATGCAAGTGGGCAAATTAGGGTGAAGGATAGAGAAAAGAAGCGATTTCTGTTAACCAGATGCAAGTCATAGAACTCTGCTCCAATGTAACCAACTTCCAGTGTGGAATTCGATCGGGCCAATGGGAATATCGCCAGAATTCCTCATTAAGGAAACTAGTTTTGTCATGCTCTTTGGATGAGACGTTAAACCAAGGTCCCGCCTGCTTGTTAAGGTGGATGTTAAAGATCCCATGGCACTATTCAAAAAGAGAAGGGAATTTCTCTTTCCTGGTTCCTGGCCAACAATTCCCGCAAATAAAATTGGTCACTCACTCCACGACTGTTTGTGGGATACTTCTGTAAGCAATTGGCTGCTACGTTTCACCCACAAAACACAGTCATTCCACTTCACAGAGTACCCTGTGAAGCGCCTTAAGATATCTCAACAACATGATAAGGCGCTATATCAAATGCAAGGATTATTATCATTGTATGAAATTCCTGGAAATCAGGAATTTTGATTATTCCAAATTAAGTAAGGAAAAGACCAAGCCCATGCTCCAAAATGGAATTAGTTATGGTCGAGAAAAGGAACCTCCAATTGGTTTCTGTACAAATCCAAGGCAAGTAGCACACAGCTTGAACATTCCAGACCGGCATCCAAATGTGCTGGAGCACTGGGAAGGGCACTTGAGGTCTTCGGGTCCTCTCAGGCAGAGCCTGTGATAAGGCTGTGGTTTTAGCCTCCTCTTGTAATTTGCATTGTCCAGACTACGTCTCTGTACAGTCTGACATTAACGTTCAGAGAAAAAGAGCCCCTTCAAAGACATGATTTGAGAGAAGCAGAGCAACTAAGCAGTCGAGAGTAAGTCAACCTTCAAACCTCATTGGCACAGATGTGGCCCAGGCTTGAGCTGTTCATCTTCCTACAATTTATCCTCCAAAGAACAGACAAGGGATGGATTTCTGTGTAACTGAACTGCTCGCTCTGGATTTATCCAAGTTCACTGTGCCACAGGCAGAGAAAAGCTGGAGAAAGGGAGAGGGGAAAAGACATGCATAACATACTACTGCCACTTCCCTCACCACCACTTCTCTACTAGCGAGAGGAACACTTAGACAAATTAAAATAATCAAGGAGATAAACAAAAACTCTCCAGATGGCAACAGACAGAGAAGATGGGAGATGTTTTTTTTAAAAAAAGAAAAGGGTTTGAAACTGCCAGGACTATACTTGTCTCACAGGTGTCCTGATCTGAAACTACCCCTAATGTAGGCTCTTAATGTGGGTGGGGTGCGGGGGGGAGAGAAGGGAGAAACAGAGTGTGGTAGGGTATTGTCTGTTTGATATTATGTGTGGGGAGGGGGGGCAGAAAAAAATAAAGCCGGGTCTTTGGAGATGAACTGCCTCCAAGGTTGAGTGATGTGCTTGGTATATGGAATATTGAAACCAAGCCAGCCCTCTGTGACGGTCTCCAGTCAGGTCCCCGAGCCAGTTGTGGCCGCAGTATTTCAGGGCACTGCTGATGACAGACAAGCCAGCTTGGCTCATCGGCAAGACGAAGGGACAGACCAGTCACTGGGGGCAGGGACTCCTTCCACTACATTTAGTGCCTGCTAAATGTAAATTGTAACTGTTAGCCCTGCCAACTATTTTTTCCAATGCCCTTGCAGGTCGGGGAGTGCTAGCCTGGACAAGCAGCAGGAAGCAAGCTTGCCAGCAACATGCCAGAGCGTCATACCTTTCAAACAAATATACAGTAATAACATTTGTCACAGAAGCTGCAGTTTCCCTTCCTCTCAGCTGCTCGCTTCCTTATGTGGTACACACAAGTTAATGGCATGCACAGTGATGCACATGAGGACAGAGAGAATGCAGCTAGAATGACTTTAGTTCAATGACAAAAACAAGCTTCTACTAAAAGGGGAAGCAACAGCAACACTCCCAGTGACTTGAGCTGTGGGTGGATTCCTCCACACAGATAGAAACAGCAAAATTATCAAAACAGAAACTGTACATCCCCAACTCAACTTAACCCCACTGTCATCCAGATGTCACTTAGCCTCTGGGTCAGCCGGCTGTAGCCTTAAGCACAATATTGCACGTTGTTTTGTTGTTATTGGGACTCACACCAACATAGTGAAGGGTCTCCCAGGCAAATGAGAATTTCGTCTCCCTATAGCTCTCCCTCCCTTTGCAGGATCTTGCTTCACAGATGTGACTCTGTGGCTGTAGCCTCAGTTTGTTAATGAACTGAGCTGCAGAAGACAGACAGGCAGACTGGCTGTATCAGCTGCTGTCGAGTTCACACTATCAGCTGTTGTATTGCCTTGGTCATAGGATCCATGGTCCAACAATGTCCTTTGTTCAGCTGCGCACCTTGGCAAGATTACTCATAGCGACTCCATCCAACCCAGTGATCGCCTCAGCATGACAGTCCTCAGACAGACAAGGGTTGCCAACAATGACACAAAGGATAGCTATAGCCACTTGTCTGTAGTTTCCCAGTGACGACGACTTAAGATTCCCAGTGCACTCAGACTACATAGGGCTTGCCAAGTTATTCACTTCATGTGATCAATTTCTCTGGCACACTGAACCCTGCCACTAAACAATGTATATAACTTGTAAACCTCGGAACAACAATTTACATTTTGTTTTGTGTCTTTTACAACAGGAGGACGACTCAAAGGGCAGCACAACTGGAAGCATGAGCTGGAGGCGATGTAAGCGACCAAATGCACAAAGAGATAGTTTTGAGGTGGATATTGATGGTCCCATCTACCTGTTCAGGTGATTGTTAAAAATCCCCAACACCTTGAAAAGGGGAGTTCCTCCTGGTGTCCTGGCCAAAAATCCTCCAGATGAAATCCATCATTCACTTCACATCTGTTTGTGGAACCTCACTGTGGGCAAATTGGCTGCAGCATTCACCTACAAATACATAGTCACTACACTCAACTATAATTCCCTGTGAAGTGCTTTGAGACATTGACACTCCAATGCGGTGCTGGGGAGGATGATGCAATGTCAGAGGAGCCGTGCTATGGATGAATCATTAAACTGACGTCCCATCTGCTTGTTCAGGTGGACATTAAAGTTCCCATGGCACTATTCGAAAGAGGAGTTTCTCTCTCCCGACAATCCTCCAAATAAAATCGGTCATTCGTTTCATGACTGTGTGCGGGACAATGCTCTGCACATTTGGCTGCCCTGTCAACAAGAATGAGGCTCTCCTAATTGGCTCCCATCAGCACCTCCTCACCTCGAGCACTGACAGCATCACCATCCATGGTTGCACACTCCACCTTGCTAAGCCAGTCCAGAACCTTGATGTCTTGTTTGACCCTCAACTATTCTTTCTATCCCACATCTGCGCCATGACCTGCTCTGCTTTCGCCCACCTCCGCAACGTCGCCCAGCTCCGACGCTGTCTCACACTGCAGGGCTCCAAAACCCTCATGCATGATTTCATTACATCCAGACTCAACTATGCAACTCATTGCTTGTAGGCCTCCCCAACTCCTCCATCCACAGGCTGCAGATCCTTCAGAACTCTGCAGCCCGTGTCTTTTCCCGCACTAGGCTCCGCGACCCTAGCACTCCCATCTTTGCCCAACTCCCATCACACAGAAGATACAGTTCAAGATCCTGGTCCTCACCTTCAAGGCCCTCCATTCTCTTGCTCCCACCTACATCTATGACCTCCTAACCCCCTACCATCCTGCTCGCTCCCTCTGCTCAGCGGCTCCGGCCTGCTTCACATCTCATGTCTCGCTCGCCCCACTATTGATGGGCGGGCCTTCCGCACTCTGCCCCACCATCTGGAACTCTGTCCTGCAGTCCCTCTGCTTTGCCCCCTCCCTTGCCACCTTCAAGACCCATCTCAAGACCCTCCTCTTTGACCATGCTTTCAATCTCCCTGCTTCCCCCGCTGCCCTCCACCCTCCCCGACCCCCAGCTCGGGTCTGTAACTCTGTCTGTCCCGCGCCTTGGGATGTCCTCCCGACGTGAAAGGCGCTTTACAAATGTAATTTTGTTGTTGTTTCCCTCACAAAATACAGTCAATCCACTTTACAGTACATCCTGTGAAGTGCTTTGAGACGTTTCAATGATGTGATAAGGTGCTACATCAAATGCAAGGATTATTATTTTAAAATGCAAGCAGTTTTGTTACAGGAAAATATATACATTTAAAAAAACATTACTTACATTGTCTCGCTGATCATAGTCAACTGAGCTCGACACTGAAGTTAGCCGTTCGTACCGGTCGTGATTTTCTGAATGCAGAGCTGAGGCCACACTGAAGAAGAGACAAGCCGGTGTTCAGTTAGCAGGTTCTTATATGTGAGCACAGAACATTCACCCCACCAACACCATCAGCCAGTGCAAACACACCAGGCTGAAGTACCGTTGCAAGAGCGAGCCTCATCCTCATATCAACCTCAACAAAAGTTCCAGTTGGGTTCTGTACATGCTTTTGCTAGTTCACCAATCATTACTGTACTGCACTTTTGTCATGTTGACATTAAAGGCGGTATATCAAGTATGTGGATTATTATCAACACTATAGAAGTGTGAGGTCTCTGAAGACCGCACACAAGTTGCCCCATTAAATTAAAAAGCAAATTGCATTTTATTTAGCGCCGTTCACATCAAGAAGACATCTCAATAGAAAGAGTAAGTCATTTGACAACCCTTCCTCCTTCTCCCCACCCATCACACTTTGCTACCCATCTCAAATGACCCTGTCTCATCCCACATCTACATACACGTACACCCAGGCCGGGTAGTGATCAGGAACATTACTGATTTTCCAACTCGGCCATGTAAGGCATTTCTGATGCTGAACACTACATACAGCAAGATTCACATTTAGGGCACCACACTAAGGGTTGTATTTACAAACTTTATGGGGTCCCGCTAATGTAGTGGTTAGCACACTTGCCTCGCAAGCAAGAGGACCCAGGTTTGATTCTAGGTCTGGGTGAGACCTTAGCTAAGTTTCCTGACTCCACCTAGCAGTAAGTAAGAACCTGTTTTTTTGTCGTATCCCTTTTCCAGGGGTAATAATCCCCACCTCCCCCCCCAAAAAAAATTGATCATTCAATCTGCAACTTTGTGGGACATTGCTTTGTGCAATTAGCTGTTATATTTTGCCCACAAAATAATCAGTCACTACTTTTTACAGTATATCCTGTGAAGTGTTTTGAGGTGTCTCAATGACGTGATAAAGCGCTATATCAAAATGCTAGGATTATTGTTATTATTAATATTCAAAACACTGCATTTTGGGTGTGGGCAATCATTTCAGATTTAATTGCTAATTTGCTTCTGCGAGTCTGGTTAAGAATTGGACAGATGATGTAAAGTTGGGAGTTGAGCTTAGCTCGCTCTCTCAGACCCACTGTGAGGCCTGCTGAACACAAGGGTACTTTAACATGGGAGCACTGGCTGCCCTCATCAACACATTAGAACAGTTCATCTACTGGCATCGGAAATCACAAAGGTTAGAGACGGAAAAGGCAGATACGTGTTAAACCCAGAGCCACGCAACTTCAGATAGTCAGGAAGGGAAGAAAGAAGAGACAGACGTTGAACTGAAGCTCTCAACAAAACAACCAGCCTTATTCCAGTCAATTGCATCTCTCAGAATTCCCACGCCTGGTTACATTCAAGAATCAGCATCTGAATGGCAGGGAGGTAGGTTAACATTGTCATTGCAGCTCTCAGCAGGCCCCAGCTCTGATTAAAGGTCATTTATAGACCTTGTTGTTCTCTCTGCATCAAGTGTCAGTAGACTTGCTGTGCCTTTCTCTTTAAATTAAATTAAATCTGAATTTGAAGCGAATTTGGCCTTTCAGGCTAACGGTGTCATTTCAGATCAGTTTGCTGCCAGGGTGTCTTGAAACAAAAAAAATCTGAAATTCAAAAATGGAAAGCGTGCGGATATAGCTAGTCATGAAGAGCACTGAGCAGTTGGTGAAAACTTTCCCTTTAAGGCCTAGTGTCAATCACCAAACATAATTCCAATCCTGTGGCTGTGTTTTTACAGGGATTATTACTGATCACCATGGAAGGTTGCGTGGGATGCTGAATATAATCGCTGTAATCATTCATGAATAAGTTATGAGTTCAGCTGAACTACAAACTTGGGAGGAAACGGCATTGGTTGTTGAGTTGAAGGAAGCTGCCACGATACTCACGTCTGTTAAGAACGAATGTTTATATTTGATTTTCAGACTGAGGAGAAGACATGCAGTATCATATCTCGTGAGAAGCGTGACTGTGCACATCGTGTAAGGAGAAAACTAGCAACAAGTCATTGCAATACACTACCACCTGGCAACACAGTCATCACACAGGGACCAAATTCTGGCACTTTAAAGCTTAGAATTACTTGGAAGAAACACTGTTCACTTTGGAGTACTTGTACAATATATTAACATCTCTCGAGGGAGGGGAGTGGAGGAAACAGTTTGGAAACGGAAAAATGAGTTTTCCATGTCAATTTAAAACTGCAGCAGCCGGCACTGTGTATCACACATGCTGACGGTTCCTTGGGAAATGATGTGTCTGAGTGCAATTCGAGTCTAATTGCTGGTTGATCCCAGTTTATTTTATTTCCAGGGCAGCATACAGACTGCATTGCCTTACAAGAAATGAGGTGTTTAGATGGTAACAAAATCATAGAGACTAGACTTCAAGGACTCAACATCACATCACCTGAGCTGTGAGAGGGGTCACTGACATGATGGGCATCATTTGCTAAAATCAAACACATCTAAGTATTGATGCATTTTCTATTCCATTGCTTCCAGTAGTTTTGTGTCCTAAACTAATCAATTGACTCGTGGAAGGCACGTGATCTGCACAGAGTGTTTTTGATGGTGGGGCAGGATTGTGTGTCAGCCTCCATGGTGTAAAGGGTAGCCAATACAAGGATAAATCCAACTGAGGGCTCAACAGGACTCCACATGCACACAGTACAAAATGAATCTTCTGACGAGCACTTTTTTTTTAAAAAAGGGAAGTCTTGCCGTTAGGACCCCATTTTAAAACCTAAAACCAAACCCGAAGACAGGCGATGGACTATGTAACTATACGGGTGGGGGGGGGGGGGGGAGAAATGAGACACAAAGGATGAATGAGAAAAATGCATATCCAATCCTTATCCTGTTCTCATGTGACATCCATTGACACACACTTAAGAGAGAGAGAGAAATGGGTGTCACTGGAGTCCGTGTGGGATACCCATCTAACTTTTCAGCTTCTCTATTCCCAAGCATAGGGCACTGAACCTGATAGCAATCAATTAACTCAGGCTGACCTGGGGCCTTACAGGCAGTATATCACTAGGAACGCTCAATTCAAGTTTCTTTAAAGCTAATCAGGTGAATTTCAGTGTTAGAAAATTGGTCATTCTCCAATTTTAGAATGGATTTCACAGCAATTCCAAACAACATAGAGTTACCCTCATTATTGTGTTGCAACATAGACATTGTGGTAAAACTGGCTTGAAAAACAAGCAAGATCTGGGCGAGGCAAGACTCAGGTGTGATGTCCTATATAATTGATCATCTCTGTCGACACTCAACTGCCAAGGATCATACACAACGATGCTCACTTTGAGCAGGGTACATAAGGGCAACCAGCGCCTTAGAGCTGCACTCCAGCAAGAGGACATTTGAAAATGAGATAAAATAACTCAACAGTTGGAATTTTTAGAAAAGATTAAAAACAATTATGGTTAAAAGTAAGTAGTCCATAGTTTCAGGGTAAGGTCCTTTGGGACAAATAAGGAGGAGAATGTATCTTAATTGTCATTTCTTGCACACGATGTACACAGAGGACGCTTGGTACAGAGATCTGCTGTTATTGGAGAGAAGTAAGAGAACATTAAACATCCACAGCACACCTAACCACAGTGGAGATCAAGGCAGAAAATATTAGTGCCTTCTCAAACCAGAAATCACGTCAAAGATAAAGGAAAGAAAACGAAAGAACGAAGACATACTATTCCCGCTCTGCTGTTTGATTTTTCCCACGTCTTTTTCTAGAATATGAACAAAAAAGACCTTAAGGAAGCAATTTAAAAATAAATTTACCTTGAAGCTGAAATGACGAAGGAATGATGTTAAAACAAGTACAGATAGGGCTAGGAGATGGACATTCTCTTGCCACTCACAAACCTCCAGAGACATGATGGATGGACTGAGCGGTAATGTGCAAAAGCAGCTTCTGTTGGAGATAAGCTTCTTTGTTCCACATTTATTTCCAATATGTATCCTCTTTGCCCAATAGCTAGCTTCGAGTTCCTTCTTCATACAACACATCACTAACACCTGCGTTGATGGACACTAGAGTGAAGGCAAGGTGGTTATCATTGTTCTGCGCTTGCTCTCCTCTTCCATTTCTCTGCGCCCGCACGCTAAGGCACGCTCCTTACTGATGTCGACACACAATTGCTTGGGCACCCTGCCTTGCTCAACCTTAACCAAGTACCCAATCTTCTTATGAAAGTCTGGTTGGCGAGCGTCCTGGTGACCTGTAGAATGCTCAGAACGGGGCAGGCTTGGTGATTACGCTAGGAAACGGATGAACTTTACTGGTCTTTTGTTCATCCTTGGCTTTCCTGGGAGTTGGCAACCCATCACAGCATACACATTCTTTATAGTGCCTACAATGTCTGTTGAAATTAAAATGCAGTACAAATTTACATTTTCCTTTTATGATGGGAGAACATCCTGAGGTGCTTATTAGTGACTTCTGAGACTTCACTGCTGCTCATATTGTTGCAAACCATTACTGTTGCCCATATTTATACAGCAGAAACAAAGTTAAGCACTGGAGCGAGCACCCAGACGTATTGAACATCACAACCTGAATAACAGACGATTCAAAGGAGAAAAAACACTTTTTACAAATTCTGCTCATGAACAGCGAGAGATAAAATGGACAATTTATGAGACTGAACAGTTGACTATTTTATGTGCAGGTTTGTCAGGACTTCAAACTGAAATGGACGGAGGCAGAGAACAGCTAACCACAGAAAGAGCACATTGAAGCCACGTTGTTCTGAAGAGACTCACGCAATTCTGAGAGACTGAAAGTAAGGTTAGTTTGCTGTTGCTAAGGCACAAGTTAATTCATCATGTCTACAGGGTGTCCACAGAGTCCTCTTACCCAGTTACAAAACAGGGCTACAAAGGAGCTGAAACAAGCCGTCAGAGATGCATTTCGCTTAGTCACTCCATCCATGTTACAGAAGATGTGGCACTGAACATGACGGCGGATAATTATCTGTCATGAAAATGATGGCGCTCACTCACACTGATCCTCTGGACGTCTGAATACAGTTAAAGACTTGTACAGAATATCATTAAGTACTTCTAAATACAATTATCATCATTCATCCACGTGTTTCAGTTGTTTGACAATAATAAAAATGGGGGTAACAGGACTTTGTGGAGACCGTATACATAGTAATATAGGTTGCAATGTAACAGTACATCCTGAGAGGTTCACCCCCAGCCAAGATTGCTGGCTCTCAGTCTCGGCCTGCTGTTTAAATGAAGCAGCAGCAAGCATGGCTTCAGTACATTTGCAGCAGGAGAGAAGAAAGCATCCACTGAGGTCAGTAACTCACCATGTGAGGGTAAATCACCAGACAACCCATCAGAAAACCACAACCTCATGTCGTTAACAAAATTCACCCATCACTGGATCTGATTACTTTAAAGCACAGAAATTGTAGAAGTTTTTTCTCCCCTCAATTAAATGTATTTTGTTACAAAAACAGTCACTACATGTAAAGTGCTTTTAGATATTTCAACATATGAGGCCATAAAATGCAAATTCTCTTTCATTTATTAACTTATGTAATCAGAGTACATTATAAATAGTGCATTAGTGACACTTCCATTAGGAAGGTTGCATTGGGAAAATCCAATAATACCATCTGGAGCAGACAGCTTTGTTTTCCATCAAGGATTCCAGTTTTCATAAGCATTAAACTTTGACCTTTCAACCCTCTCACACCCACTCACTCTCCCACACCCACAAAGGAGCTTAAGTTTAACAGAAATTTATACCAATGGATCACTGACCACAAGGCTGCAAACCATTCAAAATGATCAGATGGTTTATATACAATAAACAAAATGTTATACTTGCAGGAGAACCAACAGTAGTTTCTGGTGCAATTAATTGAACTGAATGCAAAAGTGCTGCTCAAGGCTGAAGGGAATTGTTGTTGGAACCATTAATTGAGTGAATGAATCCAAAACATCCCGCACACATTTCATTAATTTATTTACACCTTACATATCACAATTCAACATAAAGTACAGCTTGAAGCACATTACCCTGATTAGTGGACTGATTAACATAAACCAATATGTCAAGAGGCTTGAGGCACCTCTGAGCCATTTTGCCTCTAGCTGCTATTAAACATACTGTTTAGACTACAAGCATTTTAAGAGATTCTTGAATGTTCCATATATCCCAATCCGTAATGACCAAACTTCTTTCATATTTCCCGATTATTGTCCATCCCCCAATCTAGACATGCAGGAGAAGTGCAGTAGAGGTGACTGTTAAAAGATTTATTTTCCCTGCCCTCTATATTATGCATGGATAAGACTTTTCCACTACAGAGGAGGATCAGTTAAAATCAATACATGACCTTACTACAGACGTTCCAAATACTGAAGAAATATTAAACAAGAGAAAACTGTCAAAGAAAAAAAAGAAGTCTGAAAAGATGTAACCTGCCCAACACACTTGCTACTTTGTTCTCGTCTGTTTCCCAGATCCCACACTTTGTAAGACATAGTAAGGATTAAAAAAGTGCCAGTTGCACAGAGCCATTACCTATCAGCATCAGAGACCAGCGCAAGACGTCCATAGTCCCAGGCCACCTTCCTCAAAATGGAGAACACAAACAAAAGGACCTAAATAGAGGAGGGAAAAAGATTGAAACAGTGAGTGATTCAATTCTTGAGAAGGTGTCCTGCCTCAGAAAGCCGGTGAGGGGAAAACTAGTCAAGAGTTTCCACAATGGATTCCAGTACCCGAACAAATTAACTTCAAGATCCTTGCTCCAACCTTCAAATCTCTTTGATCATCTTGCACCACCCAAACTGTGCAATCTCTTCCCTCCATCTGTGCCCCCTCCCTCCATGCCACCAACGGCAGTCGAGCTTTCAACCATGATGCTGCTGCTCTCTGGAATGCTCTCCCTTCTCTCTCTCTCAAAGCTCTCCATTTGATCTTGCTTTTGTAGAACAGCCATAAACTGATTCTTCCATCACTTCCTATTGAGTAATCCCAATAGTGTTTGTAAGGCACTGTCAGATGTTACGCTATGTGATACAGTCCCATTTACCTCTGAACACCACCACTTATTACAGAAAGAGTAATTGGCTAAAGTTTTGTTCCGTTAATTTTAATCCATAATTCCTTCCATTCATAACCTCCCCCAATAAGCAACAGGAGCAGCAACAAGCAATCGAACAGTGCCCTTCCTCACAGATGACACACATTATGTTATGTTAATCTTGTATGCCTTGCAGAGCAGTTTTCTTTAATGCATTGTTTTAGACAGCATTTTCACTGCCCCTGTTGAAATACTATTACACTAAGATTGCTTAACTGTGGTTTATGAGGCAGAGTAGATTTAAACGTCAAAATATGGAAAATGTTTTGCTTTTAGGTCATTTTGTCTACCAACTAGATTGAGATTACTTAAAATAATAATAATCCTTGCATTTGATATAGCGCCTTCTCATGTCATTGAGACATCTCAAAGCGCTTCACAGAATATACAGTAAAGTTTAGTGACTGTGTTTTGTGGGCAAAACGCGGCAGCCAATTGCGCACAGCAGTATCCCACAAATAGTCAGATATTAGTGTGCATAAAGTATGAGGAAGCCTACAGTGTCCCTCCCTGCCCAGGAATAACATAACATAATAGAAACAGTTTGGGTGCTGTGAGGACAGTTTGGTACTGGTGAGCATACAGGCAGAGTTCTGAATGGTGGAGCTGGGGAGAACGGTAGGCAGGACATTGGAGAATTTGAGGCCGGGTGAGAGAAGGAAGGGGAAGTTTGTAGTTACTGACCAATGGATTTTGGGAGAAGTGTTGCAAGAACAAAATAATAGGGTTTTAGCATCCTTACCTGTTCCCAGTAAGGTAACATTTTTACTAGGTACTTTCTTCCAACGCCTTTCTTGCCTCTCAGCACAATATACTATTTGTACAGAAAAGTGTCCCACTTCCAATTATATGCACTCTGTATCCTCTCCTCCATTCGGCTCTCTACGCCCATCACCCTCATCCTCTCCAGGATCCACTGGTTTCCAGTCTACTTCAAGTCCCTTGGTAGGAACTTCATATCGTTTCCCAAGCATGCCCTGCAGTTCATTCTGCCCATGTCCTCTGCTCCTCAGACTATATTCCACTACTTGTTCTCTTTTATCTGGGGGATTGTCGATCAGGACACCGGGAGAGAGAAACTCCCTTCTCTTTTCAAAAAGTCCACCTGAACGGGACCTTGGTTTAAAGTTTCAACCAAGGGACAGCACCTCTGATAATGCAACCCCCACCACCCCACCCCCACAGCACACTGGAGTGGCAGCTTAAACTAAGTGATTCCAAGTCCCGATGTGGGGCTTGAACCCACAACCTTCTGATTCAGAGGCGAGAGTGCTACCACTGAGCCAGACTGACGCACAGACTTATCAAGAGACAAGCTTGCATACTTACCAGAAAGCACATAAAATCCAGGGCAAGGACAGTTGGGACCCCTCCGAAGGGCAAGCCCTGGAGTACAGTGCTGGTGATCCGGGCACTGTAGCAGTACTCCTTGGATGAATTGGGTGGGCCTGCCGTAGCCACAGAGAAGATGAGCATTGAATGGGATAAGGAAGTCATCTTTACAACTTCATTGTCTTATCTGCAACGGCAGAAAATAAATATTAAAGACAAGGAGTCCAGCAGCAGACACAAGCCTCTAACAGCCCAAACTAGTGAGGGAGACAACAGTGCTTTGATATATGGAAGGGAACTGTTCACTATTATCTTTAGTTTACGTAAGGTTCTTCAAATCCCTCAGGATATTAAATAAACTGAGAAAAGCATCCAAGATGGTATAAACAGTGCGAGGTTCAGGGAGAGAAGGAAGGAAAGATAGATAGAAAGGAGCTGCTTGTTCAAGCACAAATCACTGTACAAAGGACAGCTGAGGAGCATGGAGCATATAGAACCGAGGCTCAGTAAATGCCTTGGTATTTGAAATGCAGAAAGAGAACAGCCCAAACATGAAGTCAGACACATATCCATTTGAAAATACAGGCCGAGGTCAATTATTAAAATTAGACAATACTTATATTAAAAAATAATTAAATTGACAGAGCTCCAATAACATCAGAACATTTTTAAGTACTTTACAACAGTTACTATTAAGTGCAATGACTGCATTTGCGGATGAACGTGAAAGCCAATTTGTGCACAACAATGTTACACTGACCAGAAAGTAAATGACCAATTTAACTGGAGGACGGTGGACAATCTTGATTTATTCTCTTTGCCCTCTCCGAGCAGCTTTTAGGAACTCAGCCTTAATCCCATCTGCACCTGCTGCCTTACCATTTAGCAAGTCGACGCATTGCAGCCTCCAATTTACTTTCTGATCAAGTGTTCCCTGGCTCAGGAATCACTTGTACATTATTGGGCAAACCCTGAACAGACGATACAGTTAAACCTTAAATGCCAAACAATCCACTGGTACATTTACTGGCACTTGAGCCAGGCAAATCCAGGTTGCTAGGCTATCTTTTAAAAACAGAGCTTGGAGAGATTAATCTTTGAAACAAATCAGCCTTATAACCAGCAAAGGAACTGGTCATTGAACAAGAAAAAACAGATCAAACATGCTGCTTCTCACTGCTCGTCTCACAAGCTCAGGCTCTCTCTGCCCCATCTTCCCTGGATGTGTTCTAAGTGGACTTGTATGTGCCGGTCATGTCAAAAGTTCTTGCCCACTTTATGCAAGGAGTTACTCTGAAGTCTACCCTGTACAAAGCAATACAAATTTACTGAAGAAGCAAATACTTAATATATATAATAATCCTTGTATTTGATATAGCGCTTTTCACGTCTTCTAGACGTGTCAAAGCGCTTCACAGAATCTACTGTAAAGTGAATTGACTGTATATTTGTGGGCAAAATGCGACAGCCAATTCCAATCCCACAAATAGTCATGGACTGAAGTGACCAATTTTATTATTGTTTGTTTTGCATGGATTAATGTGCATGGATGCTTGAGAAATATATAAAGGGTTTAAAATTGATTGACATTGTCTCTGATTCCCTCTTTTCCTGAGTCTCACTGAACTCCACAATTTAAATTGGATCTAGTCGAAAGGTGACAGAGTTCATCCCTTGTCCTGGACAGAAATAACAACAGTTTCCTTGTGCTGTTTCATTCGCAACCATGTAAAGCACTGACAAATCTACAAGTTTAATCTTTCTGTAGGATATCAATAAGTCCTACAATGGCAGCCTGTCCAAGTACAAATTTCACAATAAATGGATACAAGACAAGCACATCAAATCCTGTTCAATCTCCATTATCCTTCATTCCTTGCTATAGAACAGTCCTGTCTTCACCATTCATGCACAATGTGTACTACTGTTCCAGACACTGTCTGTTTCTCCCCTTCCTCATCTCCTCACAGCTTTAAAACCCAACCAAGGCCTCACAAACAATCACAAAGTGAATGACTAATTTTCTCAAGAGAAGCGCTGGCCAGGACAATGGGGGGGAAAGAAAGCTCCTTCTGTTTTGAACAGTGCACAGAATCTTTAACATTTAACATAATAATCCTTGCATTTGATATTACGCCTTATCGCGTCTTCGAGACGTCTCAAAGCACTTCACGGAATATACTGTAAAGTGAATTGATTGCATATTTTGTGGGTGAAACAGTAGCCAATTGCGCACAGCAGGGCCCAACAAATAGTTGTGGATTGAGTAACCAAATTATTATTGTTTTATTTATTATTAAAACTTGTTTGAAGGAATTATTCCCCCCGGAAAAGCTATGCGCCAATTAACTAACCGGGTTCCTAGTTACTGCGAGGTGAATAGAGCTGTGGGAGTAAGGAAACTTGCCCAAAGTTTCGCCCTGCCTAGGAATCGAACACAAGTCCTCTCTTTTGTGAGGCGATTGCTCTAACCACTGAGCTACAGGACTCCACGTACAGGCGGGCGGGGGGAAAAGATGGAAGTGTTGCAGGAGGATCTGAAAGAGAGCGTGCTCCTAGCGCTCCAATGATGAGTTCATTCTCCACCGCTATGGAACATTAGATATTACTAGAATATCAGAACATCTCAAAAACACTTCATAGTAATTGCTGTCAAGTGTAACGACAGAGAGAGCAGTCATTTACTCTATAGGTCCCACTAAGGCATGAAATGTATCTGGAGTCTAGGTGGCCAGGAAGAAACTTACTTTTTTTTCTAAGTGTTGGGAGATCTTTAAAGTTCACCTGAATAGGCAAACTGGACATCAGTTTAACATTTCATATGAAGGACAGCATCTCCGACATTCCAGCACCCGCCTGGGCTGTAAACTCAAAGTTCTGATGTGGTGGGTCTTGAACCCATAACTTTCCAACGCAAAGGCAAGAGCAGCCAAATACTATTCCAACAAGGGTCTCACTTAATGATTTAGATAACATTTGAAAAATTATTTATCATAACTTCAAGTCAATTTCCTCAAAAGGAGAAGTAGTCTTGTATTTGATTCTCTTTGACTCCAACATCACGCTGACTGAAAACTGGTGAACCACAATTTCCTCTCTGTTCCTTCACCTCAGCTAGTGGACTCCCTGTACTGTGGATCCCTGTATATTTAGGATCAAAAATAAAATCCTTGTATTTGATACAGCAACGTTCACATCATCAAATCATCTTGAAGCGCTTCACAGCACATACTTTAAAGTGCAGTGACTGGGGATTTGCACTGGAGTGTCAGCATAGACGATATGAGTTTAAAGACCCAACACAATGCTTGAATCCACAATCTTGACTCTGGAGCAAGACTGCTACCACTGAGCGAGGCTGACCTCACATTTATCTACATTAGCTTCCATCCTCATTAACTTCCAGTTATTTTAACCCACCTGATTAGTTTGTCCACGGATTTCTGAATGCCATTCAATCTCTTCATTATTCACCATACCACAAAGCTTGGCATCAACAATAAATACTTTAATATTACACACTAACTGCGGGATTTAAACAGTCTCTATATTACACACTGACTGCGGGATTTAAATAGTGCTCTATATTACACACTGACTGCGGGATTTAAACAGTGCTCTATATTACACACTGACTGCGGGATTTAAACAGTGCTCTATATTACACACTGACTGCGGGATTTAAATAGTGCTCTATGTTTAAGAAAGGCAAATGGATAATACAGCCCAGCCAGCTTGGACTGGTGAGCTCAACTCTCCTTGGGTTTAGGAACTTTAAAACATTGCCGGAGATGCACTGGCTCAATTAATTTTCATTTTCAGCGAGTCAAGACAACCATCTGGAGATGGTTCTGGGAGGAGTTACAAGCCAGACAGTGAAAGAGGCGAATTACCACACACAAAGAGATACTGTGCAGCAGCAGTCTGGGCTGAAGGTTGTATGAGCACTTAACAACGCCCAGGCCGGCTCCATAATGACTCCAAGGTATTTTCCCCTGACATGAACCGTCACCAATTACCAAATAAAAAGCACCATTTTTAATATTAAAAAACAACACTTGAAAAAGGTTTAGTAACAGAGGCAGAGACAGCACCGTTTATCCTTTAAGAAACACGCTGACAATTTTTTTNGAAAAATCCACTCAGCAAAAAAAGTAATAAGCTTAAAAATAAATGTCGTTATTAATCAGACGCCCAAACTTCACAAGGGATCAGCCAGTGATTAGCCAGCGATTACCTCTTTATAAATAGCAAATTAAGCTCCCAATCTATTGCCTTATGCTACGCTTTATTAATTTAAAACCTTTTATTTAAGGTTCCTCAGTTCTCGGCGTCAGCTTTTAAAAAAGTGTTGCAGAGAAGAGATGCTGCAGCACAACAGAGCTGCAGGGTAAGGACTTGGTCTGCTTGAAACATCAGCGAGAGTGAGATTTGCAGTCACAGCTGCTACCCTTCCTGCTGTGAGCATCTAAACAAACATGGGAAAGTGGAGCGACACGAGATTGGGTTGGTGTACACAGCAGAAGTAATGCAGCAAGACCCAGGAGAAAAAGATAAGGGGAATGATTAACACAGGTCCGAGGGGGGCGCGGAAGAGGGGATGAAGAGAGAGCTTCGGCCACAGCAACTCCCACTCCCCCTTAAAAAATCTCACTGCAATTCATACATCTAGGAGGGAGCAAAATGGGGAGCAGGAATAGGCTAGTTGGTCTTGAGCAACCTCAGCGCAGACTTGAAGGGTCTCGTTTCTGTGCTGTTCTGTGATGATATATATTGAGCTTCACCACAAGTGGCAGAGTGAAACATTTTGGCTTTGAGACATCTTAACAACATGATGAGGAGCTATATCAAATACAAGGATTATTATTATCATCATCATCAATACAGCCAATCCATTTTACAGTATAATGTGTGAAGCACTTTGAACGACGTGATAAGTCGCTATATCAAATTCATGTCTGCGGTTATGAAATCACAACAAAAACATTACATTTGTATAGAGTCTTTCACATCAGGAGGACATCCCGAATCTTCCAAAAGAAACTCTTCAGATGCTGCAGCACCCGACTGACCTGCTGAGGATTTTCAGAAACTACATTTTTTAAAAATTGATCAACACTTATTCAAACATGTTGGCGTGTAGTCTCACTCAGCCTTTACACAGAGCAATCTACAGGCAGGGAATCT